CTTCTTTCAAGATAATAATAAATATCAACAATGTGTTCATCCACATTTATTGGTAAAGAAGCTGCCCCTTTTTCAGCTGCTAAATTTAAGAGGTGACAGGTGCACCTCATAATCTGAATTTTCCTTTCTTAAGATGTCTGCAACACCAGTCTTCCAAGCCTACCAATACTGGTGCATTATCGGCACCAAGTGCTAAGCAATTATCCAGAGGGCCTGCATTTTCTTTTAAAGTTTTAATAATTAGCTGTGCTATATTAAAGCCTGTCAAATGTCCTTCTAAAGTAGGAACATAAAGTAAACTGCACTCAATTTCTGAAGACTCTGGATCAAAAAAAGAAACAACAATTGGATACAGTTTTGAATCGGTATTATTACTTCCATCCGTAGAGAGGCAGAACGGAGCTGTTTTAATGCAATCAATAACTGAAGATTTATTTTTCAAACTCATTTCTTTAACAATTGATCCTGTTTTGATTCTTGCACCTTGAGTATTTTTTAGCGATTTCACAATCGGGAAACATTTTTCTAAAGAAAGCTGCAGCGTGACCCCGATGTATTCAGTGGCAGGTTGTGCTCCAGTAAAAAGGCAGAGAACAGACATTCTGCATTAATAACTTTTTGGTCCTTTGTTTCCGAAGAAAAATTTAATTTTTCGTTTTTTATAAAAACAATTCATGTTATCCTTGTGTTTTTGAGTAAGTACATGTTTGAGAACATCCGCCCTTCCACCATGCGAAATCGAAAAATCGCAAATTTATTACATTTCTTTGAGGAAATAATGGAAGGAAAGTCAACTGTGTACGATTTTTGAAATGTACACGAGTATTTCACTTTCTCGCAGACGTAACAAAAGATGATAATTTCTAAAACTATTTCCTTAAGGCACGTGTACTCACACAACTCTGGACAAAATGAACGAAATAACTAAAGTACGTCCAAATAACAACTTGCTTTGTCCTCATTGGTTAATATATGCCAGCTGACACGCAGTGGAGCTCGAAGCCCATTGGAGAACTGGAGAACGTTTCTGGATACGTATAATGCTCTCACTCACAAAGCAGAAGCTATCTGATTAGCAAGGTTTTGTTTTAGATATAATGTAGAATAATTCAGTTGCTTTCAGACGTCCAAAAGCACTTTTTTTTTAATTCATATAACAAAGTATTAAGCCAAGTTGCATAAAAGTCGTGAGAAATTTTAAGAATAAGAAAAAGTCGGGAGAAATATATTGTAAATCGGGTTGGCGGGAGACCGATCGAAAATCGGGAGTCTCCCGCTTAAATTGGGAGAGTTGGCAACTCTGATAATATATTAGTAAAGGCCGCCCTACGCCGATTGCCTCTTAATTGTGTTACGACACATAGTTATAATATGAACAAAATATCATGCTGTTAAGTGAACCTAGCGCCAAAATGTCGCTATGGTAAACAAATATAGTGAATTTTAAAGAATGCATTTATTCTATTGTGGCTTATGCGCTATCAATGAAGTAGATTTAATTCAATCCAATAAGTTTAAATGAAATGCAAGAATAAATGGGTATAATTTAATATTCGTACAAGGAAGTCATGTGGTGCACACATCAGATTTTTAATTTATGCAAATATTACAATTTGGGTATGTACCAGTAACAAAGCGAATTAAGTGTTTACTAGAATAAAAATTTTTAAGAGCGTGTTTACACATTTTTAGAACAAGTTTGGGATTTAATTAATGTTTAAAATGTAAAGAGTATTTTTTTTAAATGATCATCTGACAGCTTTTTTCTGGATTGTAAGTCTGCATCGTGATTTCCAAGATAGAAGGGCTTTTTGTAAAATTTCCAGGTGTATTGATTTTAATTCCTTTCCAGTTCATTACTCATGGTGGGTTTGTGCTTACAAAGATCTCTTTTCAAGAAACAAGAGGCACAATAGAAACATGAGTGGACTTTGTAGGAATACACTGTAAAGGAATATATTTAATATCCATATTAGTCTTCCCTTTTTCAAGGAATCCAGTGGTACTTTTCAAAGTATGACTTGTTACATTGTCTTAAGTTTCATTCTGAAAGTCATTGGGATAAAGAAATGGAATTTCTTCTATAAATGTCAGACGTAAAACTTTCTCTTGAGATAATGTGTTAATTTTTAACACTCTTCTTTTTAATTTTCCATTATAAAATAATCCTACAACAATCATTAAACCCATTACTAAAAGATTCTTTGCATCAACAGAATGAACATTGTTCGCTTTTTTCTCTTCATTTTCGATAATAAATTTTTTCTTGCAATCATTTAGGAAAATTCACGCTTCATTAAGGGTCACAATGTATTTCCATTTATTTCCTGCTAAATAATTACCAAACAAGGTTTTACAAATTGTTCTGCGTTAAGTCACATGCTTTGGCAAAAGCTGGTGAACATTATTTTTTTAGCTTTAAGTTTTAAATATCAGTTTACATTTTTATTTATTGTTGCTACAGATGTAATTTACAATTTCTGTGTTGACGGATTTTCTAGTTAACAATGATTTAACTGCAGAAATAAAACGCACCATTTTAGGGTATTCATTCTTTCTATGCAGAAGTACTGATTGAAGATTTTTCTCTTTCCAATAAATAATGTTGCTTATTTTGCATCCAAATTTTAATGCCATTCATTTCACAACATTTTTGAATTACGGAATAGGAACATTACACAATTTGGCTTTTTAGTTTGTGTGTGGCTGCTGAAAGATTTCAAATTTTAATACAGTGGTCAGTTTTTCATATGACAGTCATTTTTATAATAAGTATAAATTTTTCCTAAATATAACTATAGAGACCAAGTGACTATATAAAAAGTTAGATTTGTTAAATTTGAAAGTACCAAAGCACAAGTACCTATGTTATTTTTAAATAGTTTTGTAAGTGGAAGTATATGTCTATGAACAGCAGTTGCAATAATAGAAGCTATATAAGGAATTTTGTAGATGCAGCATACATATCCATATATTTGAGTAAATGATATTTACAGCACTGCTGGCTAATAACTGTGTTTTAAAATAACTGGCTGTTTGAACTAAAAATTGTCAAACTATAGTCTACTAAAATAGGCACTTCAAGGTCAGAACAACCCTCCCTTCATTTATGATTATAATATATGCTCTCACTACTGCATAGAAGGGATTAGGAAAGTTCAGCAAATTAAAGGACTCAACCTTCACAATCATCATAACCACAGATATGAAGCAAAGTATATAACTATTATATGGTTTATACCAGTTCATGCTATAATATGCACATCTCACCTATGCATTAACTAGTGTATACATATTTTTGAGGAAATAAATTGTTTTACTGAATTTAATGAAAATAAAACCTGCAATGCAAAAATACATATTTATTATATAAAATTCATTTGAAATTTCTACAATTTCTTATGCTTGTAATAGAATGTGACACAAAGCTCATTTATACAAAATAATGGCACAAAGCTATACTTTTGTATTTTGGTTTAAATCATAGGAATGTACAATTTTCAGTTAAAATATTAACACAGAATGGAAAACTTAACAAAAATTCAATAGACAGATGTGCAAGGAACTAAAAATGATAATTCTGTATGAAATTATTCATTCATTAGTTTTCATACAGTTTATCAGTCACAACAACTATCAACAAGTTATGAATTTGAGCACCTTACAATACAGCACTACAATTATAAACAATATCTCTATCATTACAAATTTTATTCATAAACATACTTTAAACGATATACAGGAAACAAACTTGCTTGTAAATATGAAACATAAACAAGAAGAGAAAATAAATTGTGCATAAAAATTGCTTACATTAAGGAATGTTTAAAGCTTATATAATAAGAAATATCCAGAAAAAAATAAACTATCAGAGCAATAAGAAATGATTTTTACTCTTAAGAAAAATATAAGTTACACTTCATTTTATTTTAAATTACAAGAAAATCATCATATTTAAATGGAAAGTTATTCTAAGAAAAATTTTAAACATTTTTGATGGTCACTCTCAAAAAGCAGTCATGTTTTCTGAGACATTTTGTTAGCATATACGAGGGCCATCCAGGAAGTAGATTACGTTTCCGTCTGTGTCCGCTAGGGGCGGGGCTAGCGCGGCCATCTTCACCCAGCATAGTGACCGCCGAACTTCTCGAAAAAGTTGATGCTAAAGTCCGTGAAAATCGAAATTTCACAATAACGGAACTTTCTTTGAGTTTTCCACAAATTTCGCGAAGTTTGTTGCACGAAATCATCAGCGAAAAGCTTGGTTACCACAAGTTTTGTGCAAGATGGATTCCAAAAATCTTGACAGAGGACCACAAAAATCAGCGAATGGCTTCAGCGTTGAACTTTTGGACGCTTACCATAAGGATGGTGACTCTTTACTCGATCGCATCGTTACTGGTGACGAAACATGGGTGAACATGTGAACTGTGAACTGGAAAAATTCGAAATTGCATCATGCAGTGGGGCACACAAGTTCTCCCCAAAAACCCAAAATGCATGCAAACAATGTCGGCAAGGAAGATGATGGCGACTGTTTTTTGGGACAGAAAAGGGTAATTTTGATGGACTTCCTGGAAAGAGGCACTACAAAAACTCAAAGGTATTGCCAAACTCTCCAAAAACTCAGAAGAGCAATTCAAAACAAGCGCAGAGGAATGTTGAGCTCTAAGATCTTGTTGATTCACGACAACGCCCGGCCCCACACGGCAAATGTCACTCGTAAAGTTCTTGAATCTTTAAGTGGGAGTTGTTTCCTCATCCGCCGTACAGTCCCGACCTGGCACCGAGCGACTTCCACCTATCCCAGCAATGAAGAAGTGGGCTGGCTATGCAGCGTTTTGATGACGACGCACAGCTGCAAGAAGAGGTAACGAAGTGGTTGAAGGCGCAGGCGGCCGAATTTTTCGACGAAGGAATTTCCAAGCTCGTACATCGCTACGATAATGCCTTAATTTGGTATGGTGACTATGTAGAAAGTAGTATTTGAGTGTGGCTTTCATCTGTATATAATAAAATTTGTTTACTATACTTTGTTTATTTTTTTATTCCAAAACGTAATCTACTTTCTGGATAGCCCTCGTGTAAAAACAAAACACCTTCAACAATTTATTTTAAAATTCTGGAAAGCAACCAAGAAAGGCAGTAAGAGAAGTGTTTACTATAAAGGAACAGTTAAAAATTTAATATATATTGTATAACTAAAAAAAAAAAAAAAAATTTGACTCCAGTTTCATTACATACCACATATTCAGGGTATAACGCACACTTTTAATACAAAAAAATAGCACCTAAATTTATACGTGTGCATTATACGCCGTATATAAAAATGATTGCACCAAAATGCCGCTTATTTAAAAAGAAAAAAAAAGACATACCTTTGCTGCAGCACAATTTCTATTTTCTTTTGCAAAATGAATGGCTTTCCATTTGAAACCAACAATGTGTTTCATTTCACGGGAGCCATATTTACTACTTGAAGGAGAACTAGATCAACTGTATTTCAAATGCTTAATCACAAATGCAATTTACTAAAGCCTTTGATTTTCACTTCAAAAGACTACAGAAAGAGAAAACATCTAACACCTAATTCCACAAATTCATTCAGGTTGGAAATGCTCTACAACAGCATTCTTTTGGATAGCTGCATTGAATATAATCCATCCTCTTTGCCAGAATATTTATTCTCTCGAGCATTTAACCCACACACATATTCTTCCCCTTATCGCTTGCGAGTGCGGTTTGCCACTATTCGAATAAGTGACCTCAAAAGGTTAGAGCATTGTACATGTATCTTTTAGGATTGTTCGTGAAAAATTGGATGTACATTATACCACAAATATACCTAAAAATTAAAAAATGTAGTTTGAAATTATAGATGTGCGTTATATACCAGAAAATACAGTATATATATATGTATGTTGGTTGCTTCATGCGCAAGATGCTTGTTCTCGAGGACCTTACAAAACTCAAATCATACAATGCACATGCTATTGCACAAATAAAATTTCATGATCTAACAGCTGAAAAGGTTACAAAGTACAAAAATGAAACATTTGTGAATAGGATGGGAGTTTTGCTAATGTTTACAGGGCAATATTTATGATTTTGAAATGTTGAATATAAATATTTTTTCTTGTTATTAAGAGCTTAAATACTTTAAAGGACGCATAAATTTTAAATAAATTTTCATTACAGAAATTAAAATTAAAAAAAAATACTTTTATGAACTGAAATTACACATTTGTGTTTAGTTCAACTGATTTTCGATTTTTAACATAAATAATAACAGATAAAAAGTCTCTCTAAAAGCATTGAAATAAAGGAATATAAAGTAAAAAAGTTAAAATAACCAATGGAAAAAACACTTGTGCAATATTGTAGCATTTTAAAAGAAAAAGGGTAGCTTTCCCTTAATTTATAGAAACACTTTTTAAAACACAATTGACATATAAGTTAATATATATTTTAAAAATTAAGATTTAAATTACTAAAAAGTACATTTATTGCTTTTCTCCACACATTTATAATTTGAAAGATAAAAAATATCTGATGTCAAATGGCAAAACTTGGAAAACTGACTATTTGCCATACCATATCAAAGATACAGATTTTATGGTTCACACTATGCTAACACTTGCCAAGCCGTGTGGAGGATAACAGCATGGAAGTGTAATACAAAAGTTCAAAAACTTGCAAAGATTCTCCTGAAGATGTTTCTGATTAGGAGCAAGGAATTCATTTCCTGAAGATGAAAACACAATACAAACTTCACAAGGGATAAAGAATGTTAACTATTATTGAAATACAAACATTATCTTTGAAAATACTTAGATGCATTTACAATTCAATGCATAACAGCAGCTGTTTTATAATGGGTTAGCAATGAATAACTATTTTGCTCAAAAAGCAACCACAGTGATTATGTACACACACATACATATATGTTCATACTCCTAAATATGTTTATTAATAACATAAAATGTTAATTATAGCCTTATATTAAAGTAAATGTATGCATATAGAAATACATATGGCCATAAATAACATACTGTATTTATGGCCATATGTACATATATAATATAAATAATAAACAGAGGTAGCTCTTCTCATTTGCTATACAGAAAAGCAGTATAAATTCAGAACAGCCTAAAAAGAGAGTCATGATAAAGCCTTTTCTAAGTTACAGATAAACACAGAAAAATACTGTTACATAATAAAACACAACATTATGCAATATACAAAAAATAAAAAGCACCTGTGATGAATGATTTTACACATTATAAGAGCATTCTGGAAAATACAGGAATGGTAAGTTTTATGATGAATATAATAAATAGCAGACACATTTCATACTTGCAATACAGAAATGTTTGGTTTATACTAAATTAATACATTTTAAATATTTATGAATTAAAACACAGAGAGCAAAGTAAATTCTAGAGAAAAATAATTTATATACTGAATAATATAAATTTAATAAAACTATCTTCCATATGAATTCAGCTTCCTATATTTACATAAATTGCATATTTTTGAAATTACTACTGGTACATTGTTTTATTATTCAATTAAATTTCAAATTCCAAATCTAACTCAGAATAGCAACAATTAAAACAGCTTCTTCAGTGTTCTAAAAGAAATTTATTACTTTATTCTATTTTGCTTTTTTTAATCCCTTTATGACAAGAGTTTTAAATTGTCAAAGATATAAGTATTTAACAAAATAAGATATAAATATAATTGACCATATATATCATGCAATATAGAAGATTAAAAGGATTTCAAATTCAAACATCCATTTGAAAGGGGGGAAAAACTTAAATTACTAATGAAATCCTACTAGATAAATTAAAGGCTTGAAAAGCAATTTGAATCTAGAAATTGACACTTTGAATCTAATGAGCAAAACTCATTTTTTCATCCAAAAGTTAAAAATATATCTTAACTAAAGAGAAACTGAAATACTGAAGCACTGAATAATTCAAATTCTGAAAGTCTTTGCTAGACAGCAACAAACAGACAGCATATGTCAATATAATATCTATTAAAAAGACTTGCATCTTTTTATTTTCTAAACTAATCTTTCTAGCACAATCTCAGTAAAAGGATTTCAAGTTTGACAATTTATGATCTTCAATGGGAAAATTTAATATGTATTTTTTTATATTTTAATAATTCAATAGTTAAGACCTGAAATGAGATTTTTTACAAACATATATTTTCAAGTTATTTTATCGTTGCATAGAATGTATTAATGAATGTTCAAAACAAATGAAGTGCTTGCAATAATTTAACTTAATTAAAAATCACTATTCTTCCACGCAAAATTTTACAAAATCTGTTTTTACCAAGACTCTTTAGCCTGCAAAAGTGGGTTTTAAAAGCATATTAAAATATATATATATATTCATTGACCTAAGTGATTTTAAACAAAAATTCATTCAATTCAGGCAAATTTTACCGAATGTAAAAAAAAAAAAAAAAAAAAAAAAAAAAAAATACTGTCACAGACAGCAGTACAATATATTTATTTTTCTTTATTATTTATTACTTCATCTATTTTTTTCTGTATATTTTCAAATGAATCTCTCCCCATATAGTCTATTTGCCCATGTTCCCAGGCATATAATCTAGAGGCTTCATCTGACAAACTTCTCTCCAATAATGGACTACGCAGTGGCACTTCAGCAGTTTTAGGAGATGATATAGACATTTCTGAGAAGCTTTCAGCAATTCCAGTCTACAAAAAAGTAAATAATTTTAAAATGTAAAACACTATTAAAATAATATAATAATAACAATAAGAAATGATAAATCTGTTTTAAATACTGAGTATTTAAACATAGTATTACTGTAAGTACACAAAACATTCGACATGGAAGATTTTATGCCCATTATCTGCATAATGCATTAAAATAATTTAAGAGAAAAGTAAATAATATATAAACAATAACCTTTTCTTAATTCATAGATTTAGTTCAGGTGATTATGGCATAGCAGACAAGGGCTAACTAAGAAGAGGGACACCTTTGTGAAGAATTTTCAAAGTGGAACTAAGTTGTATTTATGTTACACTTGGAGAAAATTAACGAAAATGTCCATACAACCAGTCCATTCACTAAAAAATGAACCCAGATCGAATTACGAATCTTCATTACTCTTATCCATTCAGCCATAGGTGTGCTAATATTTAATTGGCAGCTCCTTGGAAACCTAAGACGTCTTTTAGATGTAATCTTAATTTTTCAGAAAAAATAGTAAACACAAAACTGTTCCATATAAAATTTAAGGAGCAGTCAAATTATGCGAGAAAAACTACTAAACTAAAGTATTAACTAACAGGGACAATAAAAATGCACAATACTCTTATTGCATGATGAAATGATCATCCAATTAAAAAATAAATAAAACTCGGAAGTATTTACATTTTGAATTTCATCAAGAACATGCTCAGTGTATATTGTCCACCAATACTTTAAATGTTCATGAGAATGATTCCAATCTTCAGCTGGAGCAACAGTTTTCAATTCTTTATTATAGCTATACATCCAAGGCTTCTTGTTACCCAGAAAATGTACTATCTTAACATTTTGCCCGAACCTAAAAAAAATATATCACCAATTCAAATATTAAATTAAGAAGAGCTCCTCATAAAAAAATTAACAATACAAAGTTCTTTGTTTAAACAACATAAAATACTACTAGAAAAATAATTTTATTTTGAGCTAGAAAATGATACCAAAATAAATGCCCAATCTATTTAATATTCTAATTTAAAATGCATGTTTTAAACTTTACAATCAGAAAAAAAAAAAAAAAAAAAGTATCAAGGTAAGATGACAGCCATTAAAATTTTTAAAGCATTAAACTATTATACTAAACGTAATTTAAATTTATAACACACACATTGGTTTTTTTTCTCCTTGTTTTGATTAACATTATGATAACTGATTATTACAAAATAAAAGATAATTTTTCCTATTTCTTTGAAAAGTCTGATCCAAATGTCCATATAAATTTAAAAGTACATAATAAAAGAGAATTCAATACAGAAGTGAAGTTTGTGCTGAAAGTATTATAAGAAGTGGGCAAAATTTTTTGTTCAGAAACTATAGATGGTACTGAAGACATTCAAAAATAATGAAAATGATATTTTGTTTAATTTATTTATTATAACAGTAAGTATACATACCTTCCACTACAAGGTATGAAGCAATTCAAAGAGTTATCACTGTCTGTGGTTGGAGAATGATAAAATTCAGACAATAAATTTAATTTTAACAAAATGGAACAATCTAGCTGACCAACCTTATACACTAAATATCTTTATCACAAGACTTCAACTGGTTTGAAATCTGCAAGTTGAAAAGGCCATGAGATCTTTTAGTCCCTACTGATTAAATATCATCAAATGTTTTGACCAGGAATTTCTTTATTGATGATGTGAGTTAATGTTTCATACTGCATAAATGAGTTTGGTGACATTTCCTTCTTGCGAAGATAGCACAAACTTGGTCATGGAATTGGGTCAAATAGCCCAATACATGACTTCTATTCCACTCTTGAAAAGTTTCTTACTTATAAGAAAACATACAACGATTACCTGTCTAAGGGGATGCGCCATTGTAAAGAATGTTTTCAGAGACATGAACTTAACTAGTAATGTTCAATGGCCTTATTCACTCAGCCACCTGATGTGCAAAAGCTTCTCTCCTTCCTCCAAAAAAGGCCCAGAACGAAGCTGAAATTGCCTAAGCACATGCATCAACACTTGCTCATATGCAACAGTTGCATGTGTTAAAAATCTCTGTGCAAAGAAACATAGGCTTTGCCTCTTATTATACATCAAATAGTTCTATTACATCTTTTTTCCAAAAGAAAATTTTATATCTTTAAATAGACATGCACAAAGAAAGAAAAATAAATTCCTTCAGCAGACCTCAGTACACTATTTTAATTTTTAGTGAGGACAATCTCTGTGGTATATTTTAAAGTCTGCAAAATTAACAGAAAATTTGTATTAGTAATTTTTTTTTAACTTGCATAACTGGCACAACCTTATTTATCAATAAAGGTTAATTATTTTTCTTTGATTCTTGTGTTGAATTAAGTTTTATTTACACAATAAATTCCACTAAAACAGTCTGTTTAGTCAAGCATCTAAATCTATGTGCAGTGCAAGATGCCATTTTGAGACTAACAACTGTTCTAGGCTAATAATATAGTATAAATGATAATTTAATTATTTAAAACATTTAGTTTCTTTAAAATTTCAAATATTTTTAAACATTAAAAAATATTATTTAAAATAAAAATAAAGAGTTTTACCTACACTCAACAGAACATCTTGTTTTCTTTAAGAAAAATTAGTTTCATAACTTTTAACACAATTGTAATATAAGTTTATTTTTTGCTAATAAAATTTGAAAACATGATAAGGATAACTAATGTGTGCAAACATGCTTCAAGCCTCTTTTTATTTTAGTAGTGCAGGTGTTAGAATTATTTCAATTTTTCTTTCATTTCAGAGCTCTTTTCAAAGACAGTAATGAACAAAGAAAAAAAAAAAAAAAAAAAAAAAAAAAAAAAAAAAAAAGAGGGATTCCTCTATAATGAACTTTTAATAATTAGCAGTGCTATATTAAAGACTGTAGAATCCTTTTCCAAAACAGAGGCGCAAAGTTAATTATACTCTATTTTTAAAGCTAACCAAAGTAAAAAAAGAAGCAACTGGATAAAGTTTTACATCAGTATTACTGCTTTCATCCATATCCATAGAAAGGCAGAAAAAAAGCTTTAAATATAAGCAATATTTATTCTATATAAATTATTCTATATAAATATTTATTCTATATAAAACCACAGCATGATCAACAGCCTTTTTACATGAATACTATTTGCTGCTGAGAGGCACTCAGCAGCAGATTTTGTTGAAGTAAAAAAGCAGAAAATAGTCAATCTGCAATAATAACATTTTGATGCTTTGTTTCCACAGAAAAGTTTAATCTCCTCTTTTTTTAATACAATCTTCTTGTGTTTCCTGTATATGCAAGTGTTTTAATACATCAAATGAGTATTAATTATTCCTGCAGATACAGCTAACACATAATACGGCAAATTCTTAAACAATTTCAACAATCACGTGAACCTTGCACTGTTTACCAACATCAGAAATGCTGGGGACTGTCTTGATTTTGCTTTGTGCCCAATACCTAATGCACACCATGACTCGAAGCTACACTTGATGCCCACTGAAGAAACGGATTATGCATTTTCAGACACATCTAATTCTACATGCATAGGGGTAGATGAAACTTTTTAAAAAGAGAAATCAAAAGGAAAAGTGAATTATTTCAAATTTCAGGAATAAGGGAAAGTCTGGAGAAATATGTTGCAAACTGGATTGACGGGATTGCAGTCAAAAATCGAGAAGCTTAGCAAGTCTGCAATAACTAAAACAGAAGAAAAATCAAGTTGGAAACTGGTTTCCTACATAAAAAATTTCTTTCTTGGTTTCTAGAATATTATTATGAAGAAAGAATGGTCAAAACATTTAGCCAATAAAGACTGAACTGAGGACCAAATAAAATTAACAAAATTGGCATCTCTTCGTACCTTGAAAAAACAATGCCAAAAGAATGTTACCTTCCAGTGTCATGAAATAAGGGAGAACTTCCTGATTAAAGTTCTTAACAAAAACAACAAAACAGTTACACAAAATAAGCCACATGGAGTCCTATAACATTGAATTTACATGGCAGAAGCAAATAAGTGCTAAGAGGATTATTTTGAAGATATTCTTGGGTCAACTGCAGAATTATTCCCACCAAAAATTTCTGGTTAGATTGGTGCTTTTTTAGCAACCTGATTGCTTTAAGATTCCCAATAAAATTATTTTATTAAAAGATAAAATTATTGTAATTTATTAGATATATAAAGTTTTAAATCAACAAAATTATTTTTCTTTTAATTTATGACATATCTGTAATGAAAGCCTTAAACTCTTTTTCCTCCAATTGGCGGGCTTTAGCCTTTATAAGCATTGACTAGTACTGAGGCCAGAAGTGGTGATCTCTTTATTATGAAGGCACTTAAGATTTAAACCAAAATGCATATAATACTTAAGAACATATAATGCAAAACAAGATATAATATTTAAATAGTATTAAACTACATACTGCTTATATGCAGGCAAATAGGTATAGCAAGTGCTTGTATTCATGTTATAAATAAAAGATAAATGTCGAGAAATATCTTTTGTTGACCAGTCACTGAAGAACATATTCAATAACCCTTGATCTCCACCTACAGAAAACAATATATTTTCTCAAAAATAAACATAAATTCATTGCATAAATATTAAATATAAAATGAATATTTTAAAATATTCTTGCATTTAGTAAACTATTTAAATTCTGGCACTACATACAGACATGCCTTTGTATCTTCATCCAAAGAACTATTTTTTTTTAATAAATTATTTTTAATACGCAAAATATAAACCAAGTGAGAATGGGTGCTAACACAGTGAAATATAGCAGCAAAAAGATGCCTGTTATTCACTGCCTTCTCTCAGTAATCCTGATTTTCATAATAAGCATAGGAAAGCTGATATTTTAAATTTTAAAGCTGTTCTATGAAGGTAAATGGAGCTTTAATATACTTATCATTTTTTTAAACTGATTTTGGATACATTTTACTTATACTATGCAGTAAAAGATATACACAGGATAATTTCACTGTTTGAAGATTAGGCTAAAGCAATACATTTATTTTCATGCAGAAACAGCATGTACTCTATAATTAGCCTAAATCGCATTTTATGGTTTTATCTAATGTTGGCAATGTTTTCATATGAAAAATTTAAGACATAAATTTTATTTTTATATATGTGACATGAATACAGTGGTCAGCGGTAAGAAAGCTTAATAATTAATATGAATGTTAAATAAATAAATAAATAAAAAGAGGCTAAATTTCAATAGTTTAAATGACAGTATTAATTAAACATATTTAAACAACAGGATAGCTAAATTTTATATTTAGTTCTTTAATGAAACCTGCAGCTTTGACTGATTTGCCATACATTTGCCTAGGCAATTAAAGATCTGATGCTTTGTTCTGATATCAAATATTGTAAACAGTGATGTTTTACTTTGCTTAATTTTTAACATCATTATATCCCAGATCTTTCATCAATAAAGGAACTATTATAAATAAAGTCATATGGGTACTTTTCCGTTTTGCCGGCGCAAACGATAAAGTCGCCAATAATGGTACAACTGATGTCAAACGGAATATCTTCGCTGGTAACCTTTTACGCCTCCTTTTTAAAACACAAATACCCATTTCGTATCAGATTGATTGCTCTTTTCAATACTGGCATACAATTACAGAGAATATTTACAAAGATAATTAAATTTTATGCCCTAAGACAATTCGCGGTAATTAAGTCAATTGGATGCAATCACATCGCTCACCACAACCGAAGGCGAAAATATAGAAAAAAACAAAATCAAGAGTTAAATTCATTCATTCTAATGAGAATGCACTAGCGAAGTAAAGCACTACGGTTTTACATAATTTCTGAGTAAGCTATTAGTACGAATTGAAATAATTCTTGCATTTAAACTTTTATTCCAAATTAAGATTTAACTTGAAATTAATGTAAATACTGAGAGAATTAGATTTTTGTAGCGTAGTTTACGCGAGATGAGATCAATTTAAATGATGAAACCATATTAAAATTTTTATGCCTTCAAAAATCAAAAATTATTAGAACTAACATTTGTTAACATTTTTTCTGTTTATACTGTATGTTGTCGCCAACAAAGTCTGCTTGGCGAGATTTGCGCCGGCGAAACGGAAAAGTACCATCATATCATTCATGCAATGAAAATTAAGGAGACCTTTTTAAGGTCATTTTGAAAATTAAATTCATGAAAATGAATATTGATACTTTGATTATCCACACCCTCTGATTTCAACATTCGATAGAATAGCTTTTTTTTTATGCATTTTTAAGTATATATATATATATATATGAGATACCATGCCTCTATGCTCACACAATTATAACAAATTTACAACTGATATATGATGAAAATCTTTCCTCTTCAACAAATATAGTGCTTTTTCCACTTAGAAATGCTAATTTTCTTTGGAAAAAAAAAAAAAAAAAAAATTATTCTCAAATAGGGAGATACAGCCTTTTTAAGGCCTATTTCAGAGCAAACTGGATTTAAGTTATATAGAATACTGATCAGTTTCATAGGAAATGTATTGGATAGGTGAAACAAATGCTCAGATTCCAGCAAAAATATTAATGTAAAATATGACAAAATGATTACCACAAAATTAAATAAATATTTACCATCAAAACTACCCTGTTGGACAGCCATATCTAGCAATTTTTTATACGTTTCTTTTGAAGGTTTGAAAACAAAAACACCAGAGTTGAAACAATCCGGCCATCCTATGTCTGGCACTGCTGAAAGCTCTTCTCTTTCAAACAATTCATCACAATTCTTTAAGACCTGAAAATTATAAATTGGATACATGACACAATAAAATAATGGAAAAGCTATAAAATGATAAAACCACATTAAGACAAAATTATAAAATTTCAAAGAAATTATTACAAATTAAAAAAAAATGAAGATTTATTTGCAACCATAGCAGAACAAAAAAAGAAGATTAATGCAAACCTATTAATGACCAATTAATCTATTTCTCATTTTAAAATAATAACTAAAATGCAATCAATATACTATGTTTTCTCAAAACTGCACATACTTGGTGAAAAGTTAAAAGGCAGTCATAATATCAAATACATACAATAGTAACAATATTGTTTCAAAAGAATATAGTAAAGTTCAATTAAATTACCTAATTTGTTTTTCTGATAATACTTTTCAAAATTAAACTTTCAAGTTCTAATTGTTTGGTTTTCTTTAATTTACGAATTATTTTTGCACTTAGCTTTATTTAAATTTTACTTAACAGTTTCTGTTTGAATACAATAGTTTATTTTATTAATCATTTATTTGTAATTATATTTCATTTAAATTAACTTTATACCTTCTTAATCAAGAATGAAAGCATTCCATTACTTCATAATTTTCATTAATTTAAGAGGTAGTAATCTTTTTTCCATAAGAATTCTTAAAACATTTGAGCAAAATATTTAGTTTTTTTTATTTCTGACATTTTTTTTTTTTTTTTTTTTTGAAAATCTAAGCTAGAACAATGCTATGAGGCAATATTTAGATAAAAATATATTAGAATTTTTCAGGTGTCTTTCAATTTTTCTTGAGCCTGAATGCCATATGTGGTTTAAATTATCAGAGAAAGAGTTCCTACTCTTTTAACTTGATGTGCTCGCCAACTGTTAAACCAATTAATTAAATATTGATATTTGATAAGTGATTTGATAATTAATAGTTATTAATTGATTTGATCAATTAATAACTATTATGTGGAAATAATCAGTGGTCATTACTATGATCAAAAGACATTACTATTGATTTACAAATTATCAATAAATATATCTTCAATTGTAGAAGACCTCAAGGGATTAATTACTTCTTTTTAGTTTTAACATTATCTATGATGCTTCTATTGTAATACTATCAAGATTATAACGTCTTAGGATTTACGATTCATACCAGTTAAATCTGAAATTATCTAAAATTGAGCGACTTTTTCACATCAGGATCTTTTAAAGATACTAAGGTGAAAAATAAAATTTTCAGACAAAACTTTCATAAACATTTATGAAAAATCCACCTTTGGCAAAGGATGACTAAAAATACATGCAGCATTATGACCCAGTACCTTACTAACCAGTATTCAGCAACCAGAATATTTTTTTAAATTCCTCCTTCTCTAAAAAATTAAGCAAATGAGAGACTTGTTAAGGCATATATCATAAAGCACATATAAGAGACTGTTTCCAAATGTTGCGATTTAACGACAAAGATGGATAAACATAACATCGGAACCCAATTATAAGGTCTCTGCCTGGGTTTTATAAAAATCCAAATTTATTCTTGATAAGGTGGTTTAGTTTTTTAAAGAATAAAGTTAACTGCTATTCATCTGTTTTTCCCTTGCATATTCGAAAAAAATTATTACAATTTGCGACAATGCAACATTAAAAAATGATAAGTAATTTAAACATTTTATATGCTACATCCATGACTTGTATTTGTAAATTATTTAACTAAGCAAACAATGAATGACCTTTTTATTTAAACTTCTGTCAGATTGACTGGCACAAATTTGGTGGCATCTCTACAACTTTCACAGTTGACGCGAGTTTTCATAATTGATTTTACTTACATATATTTAAAGCTTATGAATTGTGTTGGCTTTTATGTATGAAATGCACTTTTTTCCAAAATCTTACATAATTTCAAATGTAAGCTTTTGATATTCACGTTGCAACAAGTAAGATGAATGTTTTTTAAATTTCATACTGTAAATTTCTTCCATTCATTTGGCTTTCTTACCATAAACTGCATTTTTCATATGTTATTATCCAGCTTTTCTAGTAAAACATGTAATAACTACTAAGCATTTTACTCGGATGAAAAATCATACTACTTAATGACTAATTAAGACACAATAACACGCCGAAATTATAAGGTCTCGTGTTATTCGGCGTGTTATTGTGTCTTAATTATAGAAGCCCCAAACAGGCTTACATTTTGCTTTCTTTTTTGCACGTGGTGTGGCCGCCATTTTGTGATTGTAGGAGTTTCGGTGAGTACATTTTTGCAATTTTCAAGTTATGTTTATGTTTTGTACATTTGGATATTGTGCTTTGCTTGTCTGATTTCATGCATTTTGCTTACAAACATTTTGTTTTCTATTCATTCAGTGAGGGATTTTTCTGCTATTTTGTGTGTACTTTATTATTGCTCAGTTAATTTTAGTTTGATTTTCTGCATTGTTTATCATGCCTTCATCCGTTAATCGTTTCACTAAATTACGCCTGAAACGGCAAAAAATTCCTGAATCATCTGACTTTTACTTAAATGTAAATGTAAAAAATTGATCCCCAATTTTATTCAAACAATCAAATCTAATCAAAAACCTTCGAGTCGCGTTTCAAGAATTCTGTTAAATTGCAAACTTGCCTTACTTCGGTCCGTGATAAGGGATACACGTCAACAATTGTCCAAATGAACATGAACTCTATAAGCTTCATCTGGAACTCGCTAAAACATATCCAAAATTCACTGCCCTTGAACAAAAGTCTTGGTCTAGAACGGAGAATGCAGTTAACCGTCATAAAACACCTTGCAGTTAAATTCGAAAAACTTCTTTACAAGTCTCCAAGTTCAAGTAGTCAAAAAATCTTCCCATTGTAAACATCAAGCCAATAGTTAATATTTCTAATGTTAGTCTTCAGAGAAACAAGAGAGAAATTCTAAAATATAATTTTAACTTCTCACAAACCTTAAACCCTCGATTCCAAAGATTTTGGCTCCTATCGAAAAAGCTTTCAAGTTCAGTAAAGTTTCAGATTCACAGAAAGAAATGATTAGGCATCTTATCGCTCATAATGTGAAATTCAATAATAAACCTTTGAAACCAAATCTAACTGCGAGAGAAAGAGCTACAATGCGCGAGATTCATTCTAACCCGGATATTTGTCATTTCAAGGCCGACAAAGGTGGCCAGATAGTCGTCATGGATAAGAACACTTACATCGATGGTGTCACTAACTCTTAAAACGAAGGACCATATAATCCGATCCCTAAAGATCCTTCACCTTCGGACTTATCCAAAATAAAAAAACTGCGATCAAATCTTCGCAAATCATTTCAAGCAACTTAAAACATTCGCTTATCCCATCTGTTGCGAATTGTGCCAGATTATATGCTCTTCCCAAAATTCATAAAAGTGGTATTCCTTTCCGCCCTATTGTATCAAATTTAGGTACTGCCTCGTATCCATTAGCTAAATATTTAGTTTTCTGATTTCCTCTATTAGACAATAACATTTACACACCAAAAAATTCAATAGAGTTTGTAAAAAAAGGTTAAAAACATTTCTCCTCGTAATTTACTCATGGTTTCTTTTGATGTAAAATCATTATTCACCAATGTCCCAGTGGAGGGTGCATTAAATTCTAGAAAACCAGACTTCGCGAATGTTTCATTTCTCTTGCATCGAAATTGATGAGCTAATTTCTCTCACTCAACTCTGTTTGAAACAAACACGTTTTGTTTCCAAATAAATATTACAAGCAAACTGAGGGATTAGCCATGGGAAGCCCCCCTCAGTCCCATCCTGCTGATATCTACATGCATTATTATGAATCAAAATTGTTTGAAACTTTAAACTTCCCGGCATGGTTCCGCTACGTAGACGACTTTTACCCTGTTTTGAAGGTAATAAAGATGATTAAATAGAGTTCTTTCAACAATGAATTCTATTGATCCTGCTATTCAGTTCACTTTTGAACTTGAGACTTGCAATTTCTCTTCGTTTCTCGACATTCTGGTCCACACGTAACACATCCAACTTCCAGTACTACAGTTTACCGTAAACTTCATCGGTTTGCCTTCCACCACACTTTAAATCATGTCATTCCGACTAAACAAAAAGTTAGCTTCATTTTATTCCTATGTTTTCCGTGCTCTTCAAGTTTTGCTCCTCCAAACTAGCCCTTGATAAGAACTAAATTATTTAAAAGCAATAGCTATTGACAGGGGCTTTTCACCCAACATTATTAATCAAGCAGTTAAAAAATTCCTCATCTCAACACACTAAAAGCCACACTCTTATTTTAGGAGATTATAAAAATTCTGTTGTCATTCCCTTCTTTCCATCAATTAGCTATAAAGTTGCACATATTTTGCAGAAATTTAACTTTCGGGTTGTTTACTCTCCCATCAAAAAATTCCAACTTCTATACTCAAGGACCCCATTCCGATATGAATTCCTGGGGTAATTTATAGGATTCCTTGCCAGTGCGGTTTTAATTTACATTGGCCAAAACTAAGAGAGCCTTAAAAATTCGCGTCAAAGAACATGAGGCATATGTTAGAAAAAAGGAAAACACGAAGTCTTCTGTTGCTCAACATTGTTGGTCCGAAAATCCACACTTTTCAATTTTTTTTTCTGCTGCCAAAATATTCAAAAAACATCTTCCATTGGAAACTGGATTTCTAGAGACATTTCAACATTAAAAATTTTCTGTTTCTAGTTAACGATCCTAATTCCCAATCCAAATTTGCCTTCGGCTTTTTTAGAGAAATTATGTTTTAGTTCTGGTTTCGCCAACAGATGGCGCCACTTGCTTATTCTGTCCAGGCTTCTTATCTTATCTAAACATTATTTCCTATCTTGTTCATTTGCGGTTTTGCAGCTGAAGATGATGGTTCGGTAAAACCATCGAAACTAGTCCTGTGAAAATTTTGTGAATTAACGCTGATTTTTGTTGTTTGACTTCTGAATCAGTACTTAATGACTTTTAGAAGGCATTTCTTTATACCCGATCCTGAATAGTATCTTGAGATATTTGATAAGCTTTATGATGTGCATTTAGCACAGTTGTTAAGACATGAGATCATTAACCTTTTTTGCCATGTTTAATGTTGCTGTTGTGACTTATCTTACTTAGCAACATCAGAACAGGCCCAAGAAATTAATCGTGGCAATTAGTGCAAGACTGCGCTTGTCATTGGCAAAAGCTTTGAGCACCATACAGGCGACAGTATGACTTTACTCAGTTCATTCCCTAATTTTGATGGAGAGCATCATGGGGGGGATGGGTTTCTCACCCCTCTTCCACTACCACCAAATACTCGAGAGGACTTTCGGCTGGTTGCATATTTAGAATGACACCAATATCAGTAATATGAATAATATATATATTTTTTCAATAGTGGCAAATAAATAGAAGCTGCACAATAATACTAATTTTGCATCTGTATAGCATTACCAGATACAGTTTCTTTTCACTACACTGTTGCCTTTATATACCTTAATTACAATAAAATATGAAAATATCCAGATGTTAATATTTAATATGAATGCATTTAGAAAACCAAGTGAACTGAAACACTCATAATTTACATTTCAAGTTCTTTTTTTAATACAAGTGAGACGAATGCTTAGATAGATTGAATGAAATAAAAACATAGGTTTCTGCTAACTAATATCAATTCAAACAGAAAATTAATGATTGACTAATTACAAAGAAAATCTATACAGCAGATAAATAGAGCATTTTTTTAGCATTTTTTTTTATGAAATTAGAAAGCAACATATTTTGATTTTGGGTGCATTAACTTTCTAAAGCTGGCGGTACAGCAGTTGTACCAGGAAAATGACTTTAACGCTGGCTGTTATACAACTGTCGTACCAGCCATTCCCTCCCTATTTTAGAGAATCGCCTATCTGTAGATCTCTGGATGATCCATTGTCTCTGCTCAGAATAGCCGCTGGCTATGCATTGTTTTCCTCTTCTTATCAGTTTGGCTACATTTTGACAAAAATCGCAGGTTTCGTTTTGCATCAAGATACTTGAAAATCAAATAGAAGCCATCTCTTTCTCAAACATTAGAGCACTGTCTCATAATTTTAGTACTAACTTTTGCTATGATTAAAATGTCAGCAATTTTGCATGCTGTTTAAGCTTACCAGATTTAATGCTTTTTAATCATAGCAAATAAGATTAGATTAATATTTCAGATATCCTTTCTAGAAAATAGGTAAAACTGCTTTTATCATTTACTTCCTTTTTATACTTATGAATAATAAGATGGGTACTTTTCTGTGTTGCCATCGCAAATGATAAAGTCAGCAATAATGGTACAACTGATGCCAAACAGAATATCATCGCTGGTAACCTTTTACGCTTCATTTTCAAAACAAGTCGCAGCCATTTCTTATCAGATTGATTGTTTCTTTCAATACTGACATACAATTATGTAGAATTTTTACAAAAGATAGTTAAATTTTTTTACCCTAAGACCATTTGCGGTAATTAAGTGAATTAGGATACAATTATACTGCTCACCCGAACGCGAAAATAAAAGAAAGGTAAAATTACTCTTGCATTTAAACTTGTATTCCAAATTAAGATTAAACTTGAAATTAATGTAGATAATTGAGGGTATATTTTTGTAGCGTAGTTTACCGAGATGAAATCACATGATACGAACTGGTGAATCAAGATGTTGAACCATGAAAGCATAATAAATTCTTAATGTCTTTTTACAAAATTTTAAATCATATTAATATGTTTATGCCTTTAAAATAAAAAATTCTCAGAACTAAAATTTTTTATGTGTATACTGTATGCTGTTGCCAACAAAGTCTGCTTGGCGAGATTTGCGCCAGTGAAACGGAAAAGTCCCATAAGATGTTATTTTGACCCTTTTATTTTTAGAGTGCAGAAAACCCTTAAGAACCGTTAACTCTTTCAAAGTGCTTCTATTATGTAGGCAATTTTGTCTGATTTATCAGGAGATAAATAAGAGACAATTACATGCATAATAGTTTTTGTGATTTTCATTCATTCAATGATTGCTTTGAATGATTTTCATTTATTGTAAATTAAATAAAACCAATTTATCTTTAGACGCTCTTTTAGGATGGCATCTGCCAAAAAGTATTTAAATATCATAAAAGCTCAAGTAGCTTCTACTAAATTGAATAAAAACATCAGTTACTTTGCATAAAATTTCGGCCAGTTTTATTTTCTGAAATTCTGATACTCCTCAAGAGATAAAGGGAATTCAGACAAGTTAATAAAAAATTTATCTTTAAAAAAGGAATGTTATTTTGTCTGTAATAAGATGTATGTCAACTTACTATTAAATGTATAAGAATTAGGGTTGGATTACGCAAAAGCACACAAACGCTATCTGCTTAAGGGGATGGATGCTTTTGTGTAAACCTTTTTAAAAGAAAATTGCTCACATTTACGTTCCTGATGGAAAACTCCACATGTAATTAACCCGTTCTCTCGGTTTGATTTGATTAATTTTGTTCGCTTACTGAATTACATCAAAGCATGCAACAATTACCTGTACAAAGGTGGGATGGATGCCTTCGCAGATGACTTTCTAAGGGAAGCTGGCTTGTATTTACATTACCCAAAAACCATGAATCCAACCCTTTAGCCGGGATTCAAACCCGAGCAAGCTATGTTCAGCCACCTTTACCGCTCTACTGCCGGGCCCGTAAAAAAAAAATTGATAGAGAAAAAGTATTGAAATAACCGGTTTAATTTACTAACCTATATTTTTCAATCGACATTACATAAATTAGGCATATGAGGGAATTATTTGTGAATAAATAAGCTGTGTATTGCACTTTTCTCCACTATTTTATATTACGATGGAATTATTGCATTTCAAAGTTATTTCTCATGAATTAAGTTTGCTTCGTTCATGATTTTTTATTTTTCAAAGAGAAACTTTAAATAAAAAATTACACACTTTAAATAATACACGAGAATATACTTTATGCAAAATTTGGCGTAAACAGTTTTTTTAATTTTGCTTTGAAAATATTCCAGGGTAATTGTTTTCATTACTGGAGGAAATATGAAAAACAGATTTACTACATCGTAAGTGTCAACACCCAGTATGCCCTTATTCCTTTGAAAATGTGAAAGATTACTCTTTCTAAAATAAATTAGAAAATATATTACGTGCAAATAGAATATTCGTTAAAAATGAAATAGACTTCAACCTTTGGCTATAACGATGGTTTTAAAAGAAATTTCTGCCTTCGAAAGGAAACTGACGTATAATTATTCATAAACATTTAAAACTGTACTGAAAAATACTTTTGATGATTGCATGTATAAGTCACAGATTTTTTTTCTCTGCTAACATAAACAAAAGACAATTTTACAAAGAAAAATTCTCGTTAAAGATATACGTCCTTTGCCTGATAGCACAATGTAATATTTATTAAAGTTAAATGATGGAATGCAACCAATGTATCTCTGATTTTCTTTTTTATGTTATAATAACAAAATTATCGAAAAAAGCAGATTTAAAACTCTGTTATTGTTATGTAAAGCTTTATTATTGCTGTAAGTTCATCTCAAAATCTAATTGTATTGAACCATCTATATTGATTGTATTGAACCATGTATCATTCTAACCATCTAATAGTAATAAATATTATTAATGAATTTATTATTATTTCATTAAATTAGTCATTACCAATATTTTGTTAATGAAAATATGTTATTAAAAATCGCATTCCAACCTGCAGACTTACAAAGTTCGTATTTATTATATTTTGTAAAATTTTGTTTTCGTTTTCTAATTTCTAATACAAAAATATGCAAATATAAATGAAGTGTGAAAACAAAGTTATAAAATTCACAAATTATTGCCGAGATTGATTAGAAATAGTAAATGAAATATAAACATTGCATACATTTTGTTCTAAATTGTGCACTATTTATTTAGAACTTCATTTAAATGAAAGCAAAATAATCATCGAAAAAATCGCAAATCTAGCAACCCATCTACTAAGGAACAGCGTCCAACAAACATTTAAATTTTACTGCATCCATGGAGGGGACTAACGACTTTTCTCATTAGGAAAATGTCAAAGAGTGGGCAAAAGTGTTTTGGATCGTGCCGGTCTGAAGGCTATATTATGAGAATTTCGGCCCGGTTTTAGATGGTTAAACTAGCCTTTACATTCAATTTCTATGAATAATATTGTGTTTTCCCATCATGAAAGTTAGCAAAGATCGCATTAAACTTGGGCTAATCATTCCAGCAGAAGGTTGAAGGCACAGATTACTTTTTAATTAGAAAATCAGAAGTTGTCCTTTGGTTTCCACATAGCATTTAAAATAGCGACAAAATAGTCATCTTGTTTGTGAACTAGGTGCAAGATAAATTCTCTTAAATACAAATCTAAAAGATGTCACATGGTTGTGCAGCATTTTGTCACACCCCAGTCTTTCAATTTTGTGAATATGTGAACTGACATAGTACTGCCAATAGTTTGAAAATACTCCACTGCACCCAGTTTGGTTACATAAAATCAAAGTGAAGGGGGTTTTTTAGTCAGGCCTTTTTTGGTTTTTGGTGCTAAATTGCATTCTCTAGCGACAGATTTTGTTTGCCGAAAATGGTTACTAATAGAATGAGTACCCAATATACTAATTACTTTACAAGCAGCACATAAAAAAATACTGATTATATTTGATAATGAATCTTCATAGTACAAAAAAAGTTTACCAGAGTATCAGCATCTAGAAATACACATTTTGAGAATTGGGTTAATTTCCAACAGTGCAATTTTGTGAAAGTCACACCTAACTCTGGACGTTCCATCAATAATAAAGATTCTTCATCTCTGCTGTCTAGGACATTAACATGTTCAACCAAATCATATACTTTATTCAAGTTATCTCTAAAAAAGGACATGGAAAAGATAATTACACATATTTAAAGGAATTTATCACTACATGAAAATTAACAAAGAATCAACTGAATTAAACAAATTAAAATATAACATTTAAAAAGGAAAGCAATACCTGGAAAGTTTTAGAGTATTTCAAAAATTTTTCTTCAGTGATGGTTGTTAATAGCAATAACATCCGATCAATAACGAAGCTTTAATATCAACTTCAAACAATTCACAAGTCTTGTTAATTTTAGAACACCGATTTCTAATGTACATAATATAATTAAACTCTTATAACTTTCTAAGTATATGTCAACAGATACACATTCAGATAATATATTGTTATTCAAAATGCTCAGTTACATACACCTGACAAAAGAAAAGCATTGAAGGAATTCAGCCAGTTTGCCTGAATTTGGCAGAAATGTTTATTAAAATATTTTGGAGTCAGTGAACCAGTTGTTAAAAGTGAACTGTGATATTTATAGTTACTTTCTAGCTAATTTTATCACTAATATAGACCAAATCAGTTATAAATATTTTTAAACCTCATCACCAATTAAAAGCACCGTTAATTTAACTTAAGCTATTACACATTAATAAGCTACAGCAATACTTGTTGATTTTATATTAAATAATACAGTAAAACATAATCTGCTTAATGAAATACTGGTACTTCCATGATACAGCAATCGTACTTAATGGCCAAAGTAGACAATCTTAAGCATCCAAACTCTTGGCCATAGAATTATGCAAAAGTGATTTGACAAACAACAAAAAACCAATCAATACTTTTCTAAATTATATAAATATGCTATTCTTGTATAATGGGGAAGGGGGAGGGGAAGAAGAGCTCTGCAGATAATGTTTATTACCATTTTTCCTAAAATATTTAATATAAAATTCGTTTCAATGACATTATTTAATATATTACGATTTTCAGTTAGGGATGGAGAAAAAGATAATTTATAAAAGTACTGCCATAATAAGTCTCATATATAAAACTATAACTTACCTAAATGACTCGGATACACCATCAGTTACTAGTACAACTAATTTATGTGTGGTTTCTACAAGCTTAAGAGAATGAGCCAATACCAAGGCTCCACGAGTATAATCATCATCAGTTGCCAATGTTACATATGCAAAATTACCTAAAAAATTGAACATAATGAAAACACATTTTTAATACAAAAATAATGAGTCAGCTGCAATTACTGTTTTAATAATTTTCTCTTACCTTCATGATATATACTTATTGCCTTTATTTAAATCTCCAAGTAGATACATTTGCCAAACACAATAAGCATCCACATAATTAAATGCAAGAACAGAACAAATGTAAAATTAAAATTAAGGAAAAAAGCAACTTTACTTTGGGCAGGTTTAGAATAAAGCTATCAGTTTCAAAGACAATTAGACACAACACCCTTTTCTTCAAAAAAAAAAAAAAAAAAAAAAAAAAAAAAAAAAAAAAAAAAAAAAAAAAATTATTCAAAATCTATACCAAAATAAGGTTGCTTTTTTGCTTAAATTTTAATATATATTAAATTAACTGATAACTTCCCTGATTTTTATCATTTTTAACATCCAAAGTTGCTTATTTTAGTATGAAATTTTCAGATTCTATTTTTTATATCATTTCATATAGCTTACTCATATTTTGAGAGAAAACATTACTTTTATTCATAATCATTATAACAATTTTCATTCAAAAATTCAGGAATAACTTAAAGTTATTGCTATCAAAGGTTTCATTTATTCTTGAGTTTCAATTTAAGAGCGTTTTTAATGTTATATCAAAAACTGTATTAGACTGGAAGAAAATCTGCCTATGTGGCGATGTTAAAAGAAAAGTACCCGTATTTTTTATAATAAGTAAAAACGAAAAAAAATTCGAATGAAATTTAACAATTCCAGTTACGTAGATTTGGCCTTATTTGTGCTGAATTGTTTTTAAATCTGTTATGAATGGGTTAAAAAACATCTTCGAACATTTAAAAAACGTAATTAAGAGTACATGTGATTTATTTATAATATTTCATACTTAGTTACGCACTCCTATTTATTTTTACTGCTCTACAGAAATATAAATAATATATATGAGGATTATTTCAATAGCCGTATCTTTTAAAGTACAAAATTCTTTTCACAAATTTTGTAAATAAAGCTTTTCCCAGGACGAAAAAAAAATTAAAACACATCAGTTTACAAATGCGATAAAACAAGAAAGGATTGCATTTATTACATACTTTGTTCCATTTTAGAGATTGCCGGCAAAAAAATTTCACCACATACTGAAACAACTTCAGTTACGAGCTATTTAATTATAGTTAGAAAGTTGAAAAGTCATACGGTTATTCACTTCGCTTGAAAATCAAAGCAAAGTCAGATTGCCGCGCCATCTGTTGTACGTACGCCTTTCGGAAAATAGGAGAATAATATTATTCAATCAAAATAAATAAAAAGTTCATTCAAAAAGAAAAATAGAAAAAAAAAAAAGAAAAGAAAAGTAAAACTGTGAAATATTTAAACTAATTATATAAAAACAGCGTATATAAAAAGAATAACTGTAAGTGGGATTATTATTTTGCCTTGATATCAATAAAACGAAATAAATGAGCCACATGATCTTTTATGAACCTTGCAATTTAATCGCATAACAAGTGCGATAAAAAAAACTTGATTAAAGAAATGAAATACTTGAAATGCATTGTAATTTAACCTTATGACTCTCGGCTTACCTACAGCCATTGTCTTCAACAGGAATAAAAACCTGTTTGTGACCTTCCTCAATCCATATTCATGTTGTCATTTCACATTTGTTACATTTCGTTAACTATTTCGTTTTCTTTTTAAATTATTATACATCTCAGATGCATATTAAAAAAGATGGAAAATGAAGTCCTAACAAAAACGAAAGAAACACTTCAGAAATATGCAACGAAATTTCAGATTTTTATTCCAATAAAAAATTTCCTACAAATTCAGATGCACTATTTTCATATTTAATTAATCTTTCATTACATTAGGATAATTTACTTAAATATTTTACACAAGAAAACATTACATAGAAAGCAGGTCTTGTGACTTTGGTTAGCTTCGAAAACTTGAAAGATGACTTAATACTTTTAGCCGAAGTTTTCGAAAGGGTTAACTAATAATATAACTCGAGCTAACTTAATGTTTTTACTTTTTTTATTTTTGTTGAGTGCACATATTTTAAGAGCAGTAAGGAACAAATATTTAAACGCTATAGTTTAGCAAACTGATACGTGCTGGTATTAAGTATGGCAACAATAATAATCAATGTATTTTTATATGATTTTTTCTGTAGTTTAATGAATTGCTTCATGACACTTGTAATGTGGTGATATTCGTTGGTTAACGCCTTATGTACATCTTGTGGAAAATTTAGGTCTTGCTTTGCCTCGTAAGATATTTTAGCTCTGCAACTTCTTATACCGTCGTTAGAGTATTATTGTGGGAGTTCTTTACTGTGAGATTATCATATCTGAAACCTTAAAATATAGCCGCTTTATCTTTGAAACGAACTTGGTAAACATAAAATTTGTATCAGAAATTTTTCGTTTGAAGTATTTGATTAGCTGTGCGTTAAAACGGATAAAAGAGAAAACAACATTCCACGTAACCTCCCCATTACATACATTAATATTGTACATAAAATGTTTAAATGAGAGGTAATTTAATGAGTCGCGACATTTATAAATTCCTCCTCCTTGTTTTATAAATCTCAGAAAAAAGCATTACAGTTCTGTGTTGTGAATTTTAAGATTATGCTGCAGTTATTTTTGTTACAAAATATTTAGAGAAGTAAGTTTTAAAAATATTTTGCAACTGATTGTTAAACCGAATTCTGAAAAGTGATTTGTGCGAAACTTAAGAATAATTCATTGAGAAAATATAAAATGCGAGTTGAGCATAATAAATTGTGTAATGCAATGTAATTCACATAATTTATTATAACTAACTTGGATATATTCAACAAAATTTTTGATGAGGAGAAAGTGGTTCTTTTAGTATTCAGTATTGGATTACTTATATATTCAGTATTTTTAACAATATACTTTTTTTTCATTAAATTTTTATAGTTTGTAATTATATTTTCACTTTATGCCATATTTTGTTTGTTTAGAATTTGCTAGATGCTTATCCAAAAACTTCTGTATTTAAGCACTGTTGAGCTGGTATGTATGATGAAGAGATTCTATTCACTAGTAACTTACAGCTCTTTCATAACTTTAATTTTTATGTGAATTTACTTAAAAAAGTTTGAAAAAACAGTATGGAGTATTTGAGGTAACATTAAAAACTTACTTGGAGGAATTAATCCAAAAGTGAATAATATAAATAATCAGAAATTTAATAATTTAAGATAATTTCTTGATTAATGGTAAAGGTTTTCAACAGAAATATGAAGCGTATGTAAAAAGAATTGGTAATTTTGCATTTTTTGCTTTTGTATCAAGTGAATTTACATGTTATAAGATTAATATTTTTTTTTTTCAGAATATTAAGAAGTTTACTGTTTTAAAAGATATATGTTGCTATGTATGAATTTTAAATATATCATTATTGATGTGTAGATTATTGATAAATTCACATTCCAGAAACATATTGCATGCTGTCAATCAAAATAGCAAATAATCTTAAAGTTTCTATTAAGAACACAATTAATCTGAGCGAGAAGTTTACTTTAGAAGACATATCCCCTACACTCTCATTTTAATTTAAAAAACAGAAGTAAATAAAATTAATTCAAAATCATAGGAAGATAAAAAATGATACAACCTCAAAATTAAAATTGAAAACATGTAGGCAATTACAAATTTTAAAGATCAAACTAATAAATTAAAATTAACAAACTTGCCTTCAAAATTTTAAGACCAAATGGCTGGAAATTCAAATAGTTGCGATGGAATTAAAAAGGGTTGTTGTAAAAAACATGTTTAGAAATAAGCTGAAAGCTAATCATAATTCTAACTGGTGAGAAGATGTAGAAAGGTATTTATGAACTCTTTTGGGGATTAAACGACTTAATATAAAAGAATCCTCAAGAAACTTCCACAAGGGAAACGTTTATGTGTACAATTCAGAAAAGTTTGATATTATATTCTTTTGCCACTACGATATGCCTTAACAGTATAGGAATGAACCGAAACAGGGACTGGGAGTCAAAAATAAATAGCTGATTTTAAGTGATATGTAAATTCTTATTTATTCTTATAAATGTATTGAGAAATTGTTATTATATTTTACATAAGTGTGTTTTGTAATGAACACAGAACTAGTCATGGCTGCTGAAATTAAACCCATTGCTGGCACCAGCACACAGTTTGTGAATGCAAGGAAACCACAACTTATCAGTAAATTGGAAGGACATCAGGATGTCATCAACATGGCTGTCATTGTTCCTAGTGCTGAAGGTGTCATCAGTGTCAGTGATGACAGGTAGTTACCGGATCCTTATGATTTTTTGTGCAAAAGTGTGTGTTATGAAGTTTTATAGAATTTATTATTAAAAATCATTTACAAGTTACAATATTTTTTCAAATTAACATTGCAAGATATAAAATGTATTAAAGTGTATATCAGTTTTGAAGGAAATCTTGGTTATTTTCATATTTTTATAACATAACACTAGTAAAGTTGGAAAATCCTTTTACAATTTTTATAAATTTACTACCCTTTATTTTTGGAGCAGTAACAACTGAAAAGATCTAAGTTTGTGGCTTCTCTGCACTAAATCATACAGTAGAAAATAGTATATGATTATATAGTATAGATATAAGAACTAAATTTTTAAATTAATGGGTAATAATTTTTTATTTTTTGAACATGTCTGTAGAATGTTTCACAAGGTTTAGTAAGAATTAACAGCCTAGGCAAAACTTGTTTTTTCGGCTAATCTTTGGAATATGGTAACAGGTAGCTTGGCGACATTTTGGTAAGGCGATAAAGGTTACTAGCTAGGACTTTAGCAGTGTACATGGATAAAGTCAAGAGTGTGCGCAATGCCCTTTTTTTGCAATTCTAGGATGTTTTTTTAAGTGAAAATAGGTCGACGTGTGCATGGATGATACCATGTATGTGCAATTCTTAAAAACGCGGCAAGCAGTGGGCGATTCTGCACTTTCTCCCAATTTCGCACCTAATCTTCGTCATGATTAAGCACTTTTGTTCCATAAAAGTTCTAGCATAAGCGTAATTCGGCTAGCAGATTGTTGGGAAAATATGTTGAGTTAAAAAAAAAAATGCCTTTACTCCGTGAAAACAAAATGGCATCCAAACCAAAATTAGCAAGTTGTTGTAGTAGGGTTGGTCGCCAAAAAATCGCCAAGTTACCATAATCCAAAGATTAACCGTTTTTTCTCCTTGATCTAAGTGTATATTTTCAACAGGCATATCATGAAATGCTTGTATTTCTGCTGAAAAATCATTTGTTATGTTAATATAAAAGAAAGAAATCATTTTGTACATACATCTGGCTTACTTTTTGCATATTTGAAGAGCCTGTGTAAAAATCCCTTTAAAATAATAATAATAATGCTTTTATGTTTTTTGGTCTGACAGCAAATTTTAATTCTTTAATCTATCTGTGTATTTTATTTTGTTATTAGGGAATTAAGCTTTGTATTGTATTTAATTTTTCTGATCAGGATTCTTGCGTTTAACTTTTGTGAAAATTCAGTACAATCATTGAGGGAGTGTATTTTTATTTGCTAATAGGTATTCTTATTTAATTTATACCTAATCTTAATGCACTAAATGCTTTTACAATTTTACTTTCTAACTTTTTTTAGTTAAAGAAATTTACTAGTGTCCATTCTGTATTCAATGATTTAGTGCACTGGTCAAACTCAAATTGCATGTGGGCCAAATCTGAAAAGACAGGCCAAAACTCTATTTTTCTTTAATGAAAATTGTTATTAACAAAATAAAAATTATTTGAAATAAATTTTAAATTTCTCTAACTAAATATTTATTAGATTGTAAATAAAAAATAAGAATAATATACTGTAAAGGAAAAAATTCAAATTAATATTTATTTTCTATTTAAAATCTAAAGTTTGGAACCCATAAGAAAGACACTTTGTTGTTAATGCTTTGTAATTTACATTCATTGGCAGCTAAATATTAAATTTTTAGACTGACATTATCTTTCAAATAATTATAATATGCTAAATTAATGCATTAGATAACTTAAAACTAATTAAAGCATGTAAATTTTTTAAATTTTCACAGAAATTTTATTAAGTGGGACAAAATTTGAACATGAATAATCTCTTAGTCTCTTTCTTGTATTTATTGAATTTTTCTCTGACACATAACTAAAATTACATATGTTTGTATCTAAATAATTATGAACTTCTTTATTTCATATTATAAGTTGAAACTTATTGACTTTTGAATTCTAACAAAATCCATAGCCATGGAGAGAAATTACTATAAATTATCATCATCATGGTTTGTAGATATTCATCAGTTAATTCGGTTCTTTTATTAATTTTCAACTGCGGAAAAACTTTTCGTATATAAATGTATTCTCAAACAGAGCGATTATTTTTAATCTTCTGTTTGCAGTGCTCAATTCTGGTGTTTATTTAAATTAGTTTAGTTTTTTACTCTATTACTCTTGGGATTTATGCTTTTTTTTTTTTTTTTTTTTTTTTTTTTTAACACAGGACTGTTAGAGTGTGGTTAAAGCGAGACACTGGTCAGTATTGGCCTAGCATTTGCCATTATATGCCATGTAAGGTTTCTTTTGATTTTGGTACTTTTTTTTAATTATAGTCAAAAGCATTTTTTCTTTTATGAAATATGCTTGAAATTCTGAAAGTTATTTCTAATTTTTAGCACCAGCTTCCTGCGTTGTATATAGTGAAGAAACAAAGCGTTTATTTGTTGGTATGGATAATGGTACCATATCGGTTAGTATTCTTCTCTTTTTAGTTTAAGAGCATTCATCTGAATAAATGTTATTAAATATTATAGTAATCTAGGTGGAAAGAATTTCATCCCGCTTCTAATGATTTACCGCAAAATCTTTTTAACCCCCCCTTTTTAATAGTGCCATATTTGTCATTTTGCAGTAAAATAAAAAAAATAGTAATCAGTCAGTCACCTAGGCTAACCATTTAAACTATATTCGCCAAAATATCGTTGATTATTCTAATTCAATTTTTAAATAATTATTTTAATGTTATTTGTGTCATTTATGTTGCTTCTTCTCTCTAAATTTATGTATTATTTATTAGTAAATAATACTTTCAAATTTCAAGAAATTTTCTCTGCATAATCCTGAAATTAATTCCAGCAGTATGATGACATACCATCACGAAATTTCATGCACATATTTTTTGCTTATGCATGCTACTAAATAAATATAAAATACCTGAATTTATTTAAAAATATCATTAAATAGATTTTTCTTTCGTTTAGCTGCAAAATGTCTGCAAAAAATGTCTAATCTCAACCTTCAGTGGAGAAAACAACTCCTATTATAGTTATAATAGTAATGCTTCGGGGATTATGTATTATAAGTCGTATGTAATATATATACAAGTCGTATGTAATTGGCAAATTTTTGTGTTTTCAAGGGGTACCATAATTAATTTACCTCTTAGCACAGCCATTGTGCATTATGCAGATAGACTGGAATTCTTTAAAACACACCTGGAAAACCTGGACAAGTCAGTTAATTTCATTTTCCTGTTAGAGTGGCAACCCTATAAAAAACACTACAATAATTTATTTTCATTAAAACAGACTTGACAAGTTTTATGTTCTGTGGCAAGAAAACATAAACAATAACAAAAACAAATTTATTTGCAGAAAATGCTGGTCCATTACAAGTTATAGTTGCACACATTGCTATCTTACGAGAGAAGAAAAACACACTGTTGCCAATCCACTGCAGCTAAGTATTAGATCAAAGGGTGTGGCTCATCAATAGCCAACATGTTGTGCCATTCTTCTGGCTGCACTGAACATAAGGACATCACCTTAAGTGAGCCTGTTTGGAAGATGAAACAAATAAAACACAAACCGTTAGTATTTTCACATAAAAATACATCTTTGTGAAACCTTTATATAGCAGTAAAAGGACTGATTTAAGTTTCTGCAGAACTAAATCTTGCAAACCTAAAACCGACTCTTTTGTAGTTGCTTCATGGCTACTTCTAACCAACAATGGCAGAAAACTGCCTTTGATTACAGTTTTGTTCTTACCGGGCTATCCGCCGACTAGTTCAAAGTTAAAAAATAGTTTCAAGTTCTTGATATGATTTCATCTTCTAACCTATGTGTGGAAGTCCAATTTTGCATTCACTGATAGTTAACATAAATAATTACTGTTGCTTATTGGTGGAAAACTTTAATCTGTATTTAAACAGTAATATTAGCACCCATATTTCTTTATCAGATTATCCATTTATTCTGATGAACAGTATATTTCATTATGGTTAAATATGCAGTGTTATCTGCCCTAAAGGAAGAGTAGTCTTGGAGGATTTTCTATGTTAAAAAAAAGGAAAATAATGAAAACACCTATGCAATCAGTCTATTTTATGGGATTTAAACTTGAGTTGAATTCTCAGTGTTCAGTAGTTTTTCACATAAGTCCTTGGTCTCCAAAAATACTTCACTAGAAACCATGGCTTAGTATCGGGTCTATCTGTAAGTTCGGGCGCATTAAGAGTATGCGTGGAATTCATTATGACGTATTTACTAAAACAATACAATTTTGAACCTGTTGAAACTTGTCAGCATTTGACTAACATATTATTCAATTCATCACTAACTTTTGTAAATATCGAACACATTTTAGTACCCATAGAAGCTGAATATAGATAATCAGTACAAATGTGCTGTGCTACATTTTTTATTTTGTGTGGTGAATCTGCCAGGTTTGCAGCAATAAAATTAATAGTGTACATGGTAAACACACTATTAGTATAAAGACTGTCCAGAAGTTTAAAAAATTGTAATTTGGAAAACGCAGAATTGATGATGAACCCCATTCAGGATGTTTTGAACTGTTAGAACCAAATCAAATGATTAATTCAGAAGTTTATAGTGAACAACTTTGACGTCTAAACTCAAAATTGATCAAAAAACGCCCATAATTGGTGAATATCAAGAAAGTGTTGTTTCATCACGTTTGCGCTAGACTGCGTACAGCTCGAACAACTCTGCAAAAAATTAGTGAATTTAATTGGGAGCTTTTGCCACATCCCGCTTACTCCCCAGATATTGCCCCAAGTGCTTTTCACTTATTTTGTGCCTTGCAAAATTTTTTACTGGGAAAAAAATTAAATTCTAAACAGGATGTACATAATGAACTTTCAAGTTTTTTTGCATTAAAACCAGAGTCGTTCTACAGCAATGGCATAAAAAAGCTGCCTGTAAGATGGAGAGACATTGTAGATAATGGAGGAAAATATATAATTGATTAAAATGTTAAATTGTGTTTTTTTATGTTTAAAAATTTACCAAAAAATGCGCACCAATTTATGGACTCGCCCAGTAGTTTGAGTTCTGCTGAAGAATACATATAAGCTAAATACTAAACTTATTTTTATTTATTTATTTTTTAAGATTTTGTTCATATGTACATGTTTTAAAGTTTAATATATAACTTTTCTTATTAAAGAATATTGTGTATTTTTCTTTCTATTGTGTTAAAATATGTATTTTTATTGTTGATATTCTCTGTAGTTAGTTTTCATCTCATGAAAGGAACTACTTAGTCATCTTTTTTAATACTTTTTTAGTGTTCAGATAATTCACATCAGAAATTTTTCTTCTTTTACAGGAATTTCTATTGTCTGAAGATTATAATAGAATGAATCATCAAAGAAATTATTTAGGTAGTCAGATTTTTATTATTCTAGTATTTGGAATATTCATTTTATGTTCTATGATTGCAAGCTAATACATTGTTATGCTATTTATTGTAGAAGTTCCTTTTTTTTTTTTTTTTTTTTTTTTTTTTTTTATACATAGCTGTTTAAAAAGAAGCTGGAAATTTGGCAGAAATGTGAATGGTACATTTACTGTGATTTATTATATTTCGTATTCTTTTCCTAGCACCTGTTTGTTAAAACTATATATTTTTTTTAAATTCATGAAAAAAGAGGAACACTTTTATAAGAATAATTATTGAAGTGGAATAATTACGGAATATAAAATGTATAGTTTAAATGTCTGCATGTCTCCCATTCATATTGCTAGAAGGTTGGTGAGCAGTGTGGTAGAAAATTAAAAGCTTATATCTATCAGATCTCGTCTATGATGAGGAAGCTATTGGGTGACTGTCTGTCATTACTGAAGATTTGGTACAAAAACTCTCTGTGTAAACCTTATCTAGTGCCCAGTATCAAAAATACATTCAATCAATGAATGGAGAACAATAACAAGTATTGTTTATTGATTATTATATTGCAGGGATATATATATATATATATAATATATATATATATATATATATATATATGCAGATCAAAATGAATTATATTTGTTGATACTATAGAAATAATATAGAAAAAACACTGAATTGATATTCATTTTAAGGTATGTATTTTAAATTAAAACATTTAAATTTCTTTAAAATCTAGTTAAATTATATGTTATTCAACTGCCCAGTAAAATACATTTCTAATTAAAAAATAAAGGTATGCGTTTATTTATGTACAAACATTTAATTATGTTGGTATAATTTTAGAAAAATCAATTTTCACATACTTCAAAGTTCTATAGTACATACCTTTCTAACATATCGTTCAATAAGTCCCGAGACTAACTAAGAAAACAACACCCATTTCACAAAATTCACGTTTATTCATCAACATAATCACCATCAAGTGCTATGCAATCATTCCAACTTTTCTAACTTTTCTATACCATGCTCGTAAAACGATTTGTCTTTGTCCGCAAAATAAGCTTCAGTGGCAGCAATGACTTTCTCATTCGAGCCAAATCTTTCCCCCTGGAGCATCTTTTTCAGATCAGCAAACAGCCAGTAGTCATTAGGGGCTAGATCTGGGGAGGTTTGGTGGGTGGGGAAGCAGAGTAAAGCCCAACTTGTTCAATGTAACCAGTGTTTGCATTGACTTATGGCACGGGGCATTGTCTTGATGGAAGAGGATTTTTTTCTTCTTCATGTGCAGTCGTTTTTTTGCGATTTTGTTCTTCAGATGCACCAGTAACCCATTGTAATAGGCGCTATTGATAGACTTTCCCTTTTCAAGGTAGTCGATGGAAATTACTCCTCGCACATCCCAAAACACTCATGCTATGACTTTGCCAGCTAACTGTTGTGTTTTTGGACGCTTTGGACGGTTTCACCGGCTGCACGCCGCACAGCTGACTGCTGTTTCAACTCTGGAGTGAAATAATGGATCCACGTTTCGTCCATTGTCACATACCAACACAAGAAATCCTGTTTATTGTGAGTGAACAGTGACAAATAGTTTTGTGAATCATCGACTCGTTGCTTTTTGTTCCAATGTGAGCACACGTGGCACCCATTTGGAAAATGCTTTTTTCATGCCCAACTTTTCATGTAAAATCGCATACGCACTTCCAGTTGATATGTTTACCATCTCGGCAATCTCGCAAACTTTCACTTTGCTGTCATTCATCACGATTTTCGACACTTGTTTCACATTTTCTGGAGTGACTGCTTCATTTGGCCTACCCGAGCGTGCCGCATCATTTGTATCCATGCGACTGCACTTGAAATCAGCATACCAACAGCAAATTGCTGTTTTCGATGGAGCAGAGTCTGGATAACATTTTTCAAGCCATTGCTGAGCTTGGACGGTATTTTTGCCCATTAAATAGCAATGTTTGGTCAAAACTCGAAATTCGTTTTTCTCCATTTTGTCCCCAAATGCACAAGTAGTGTCACTTTCACCACAGTAGCTTCGCTGTTTCCGGTCCAAATTCCATGAAAATCGGACACATGTCATTTGAAGGTTAGTTCTTTCGAACAATGAAGTCATGTTGATATTACTACGCCATCTGTCGATTAGTCCCGGGACTTATTGAACGATGTGTTATTTATTGGTGTGTTTGGTTTATCAACTTAAAGCAAGGTATGCTTTTGAGGTGGACTTTCTATGGGAAATTGCCTTATATCGGTGTTACACACGAGGAATGCTACAAAAAGGTCCCTACAGCCAGCCTGTTCACCTAGAATCAAATCCAGTTTGTAGTACCAGTGTTCAGCAGCTTTACCGCTTGGCTGCTGGCAGACTTCTCTTTATTGAAATAACAAATTAAATTTTGCAAATGATTAACTAGTTTACAAATGATTTACCGGATGTTAAATTTTATTTAAAGGTTCCTTGGTATTTTAACAGAGAACTGGCAGGAAGTCCTGTGCTAGCCACATCAGATTTTTTACTTTTATTTTCCGTTATATGATTTTGTGTACTACAGTACAAAGTCTGTAATCCGGACGTCCGTTATCTGGAATGATCTATAATCCGGACCTAAAAGCCACGAACTTTTTTTTTGCATGCTTTAGGCATGCGTGTGTTGAAAGAAATGTTTAATAAAGTAAACAAATAAATATTAAGTTTTTTTTTTGTAAAATTTGATACTCTTTAGATCATAATTGCTCTTTATTTCATAAATTACGGTTTCATATTTTTAATTGCATAATTTCTGCATGCTATCTTACCAGATTTAAATTGATTATCTATAATCCAGAAAAACCCCTAGTCCGGAATCGCTGAAGTCCCGACGAGTTCGGATTATGGACTTTGTACTGTATTTTTTATTATTAAATTCAGTTAAAAACATTAGCTTAATAAAGTAATAAAGAAATGAAGAAAGTAATATGTTTGTAGATGTGTAATGATATAATATGAAGATTTTACAGGAGTTTACCATTTTGAATTTGGAGAAACAGCATTTTTTTTTTTTAAATATACAACATAATTTAAACATTATTTTTTAAAGTATGCAACATATCTTAAATATTCATCCACAAATGTAAGTCAATGTAAATTTTTATGGAGATGCAAAGACAACTGTGTACTTTAAATTGTTACGAGATGATAATTCGTGATAATTCGATGATTGCTTTTAGTTGCATACATTTTAAGTGATTAGTAAGAAAATTATTGGTAATGTCTGATTTGAAATTATATATAAACCCAGTAGTAATAAGTTGTTCCTCTGAGTTTTAATAAAAAGTTCTTGAAAATATTTCTGGAAATATTCCGCTACCAGATTAAATCAATTGATCATGAAATGGAGGAGGATGAAAAAGATTTTAAATCTGCATTTAAATCTCTCTTTTGCTAGAATTGTAAGTTTTTTCCTTCTCTGCCCTAAAACAATCTTTTGTTGGTCAGTCATGTAATTAAAAATTTTGAAACTGAACAGAAATTGAATGCTGTTTTTCCCTATTGTGCTAAATTTATAAATAATTGGCCGTTGTGGTTAATTCTACTACTCAGGTAAAATATAGTTTCAGCTTTAAATTTCCTCATTAAAATATATTTTACCTTGCAAAATGTAGACAGATTATATTTTTATTTAGAATTGGTTTATTTCATATATAGTGCAAAGTCCAAATTTTGGACATCCAGTATGTGGACCACTAGGAACAATATATATATATATTTGTTTTTACAAAGTATGGGAATCAAGAAAATGCAGGTGTGGCATAAAAGCTATTTTTATCCACACTAAATGAGATTTTTGTATATCGCTTGCAAACACCCGGTGGCTAGGTATTCACACCATGGCCCATGACAATACATTTATTGACATTGTACTTTAGAGGTTGCGTTTGTATAAGTAGGGTTAGCATTTTTCTCTCTCACATAAAGAATAAATAAGCCTCAAGGTATATTTATTTGGAGTGGAATCTTTCTCATACTTTGTTGGCACAGCATTTGGAAAGGGAGAAAGAATTGGAATCTGAGGAACCCACGTTCAGTTAGCACAGCATATTGCACTCTTCCATCAACTTTTATTTGAAGCAGCTTATTATTTTGTTCCATCTATTTTTAATCTTATCAAAATTAGTTTTAGTAAATGATAACTCCATTTAACTCTTTCTGAAACTGTAGGCTTTAAACTGTAAAGCAGCTTTTTAAAAAATTATGCTTAAGTAAGACCATCCAAGAATTTTTGAAATATTTTTACATGAAATTTGATATGTGTGGACTGTTAGCAAGTTCATGAAAGGAAGTATCTCTATATATTTTTAAACATGCTTGCCATAATATACACTGGTGTGCAAAAATTAAGGACGAAGTCGAAAAATTAGCATATCAGCTGAACGAAGAGGCAGAGCGGACAGAAAGACCAATCAGGAGGTTAAGTAAGGTGATGTACGGTAGCACATGCGCAGGTATGCAGGTAGACGTAATGGGGGAGTGTCTGAGTAGTATAAAGCATGTTGTCTGTGTAAGATCTCAATCCCATCGAGCATGTATGGGATTTTCTAGGCAGACGCTTGGCAGCTCATACCTTACCACCAGTAACGATTCCGCAGCTTCGATTGGCGCTGCAAGACGAATGGGCAGCAATGCCTCAACAACTCATTGACACCCTCATTTTCCGTATGGGCAGACACTGTGAAACCTGCCTAGCAGTCAGGGAAGATCATATCCCCTATTAAAGACCGGATGTTTCATGCTGGACAGCCATCACAGGGATGTTTCGGCCTCCAGTCGCATTGCGCTCCATGCTACTTTTTCAATAAAACTTCTTTTTATCCCTCTGATTTCTCTTTAAGTAAGTGTTGCTTACATTACTCATGTTCTTACGTATTGGGGATCTTACGGTACTAAATGTGTTGATTTGGAAAGCTTTTGTACTAAGTTATATTGAAAAAACCGTCTCGTCCTTAATTTTTGCACACAAGTGTACAGCCAGCTACCAAATTTCATAAAGATAATGAGAGCCATGAATTTAAAAGTTTTCAGAAGCTGGGGGAAAAAAAAAAATTGAATTTTTCTAATTATAATGGACTAGAAATGCTAAATGGGTGTAGTATATCTGAAGTCTTTACACTGCAATGCCTTAGCCATCAAACAATTAACTGAGCAGCTAATATTGGTATTATGGTTAAATCCTGAAAATAATGCCATTTTAGTTTCGAATCACATATTAATTTCATGTGAATGGCAATTCAGGAAAAATCTTTCTTTATGTAAAAATAACTTGTATTTAAAGAACTGTTAATGAAGAATACTTTTTTTTTTTTGTCTGTCATCTGGCTAGATCTAAACTGGTGATCTAAAATCTGGAACCACTGAAGTCCGAGTGATTCCAGATCTTAAATTTTGTGTGCTCTACATGCACTTCTGCTAGAGTGTTTGTAATATTAAAATATTTCATTTGCAAATTAATATAAATATTTGTGCTTTTTAATTTAAGCTATCTTGATTTTTGTATATGTATTTATGTATGTATGTATGTATATTTTTAGCTCATCAAGCTCGTGTAGATATTGTATTTTCAGTGTGGTCTGAATGGGTTTTAAGTGTTGGTCGTGATAAATATTTTCAGTGGCATTGTTCAGAAACTGGACAGCGATTTGGAGGATTTCAGTGCAACGCTTGGTGTACAGCTCTGCAGTATCCCTTATAATAAGTACTAAATTGGTTCTTATATTTGTATTTATATGAGAATATTAAATCATTTAAAAATTATATGCCAATAAGAACAATAATGTTTGTTTTTAAAAAATGTATTTTTTTAAATTGGGTATGAGAGTTGGGATTCTTAGATGCTGTATTTCAATTTTTTATGCTAATGCAAAATAAAGTTTTTGAGCTAATTTAAGTATATATTTATTGTATGAAAATGTTTATTTATTATAGTTAAAGGGGATGAGGGAACCCTGTAAAATAAATACAGATAATTAAATAAAGATAAAATGGATGTCTTTTTTTTAAAGCAAAAGTTCTTAACCAAGAGCAGTTTTAGGGGATGGGAGACAGTTAACCTCTTATTTACCTGTTAAGCACTTAGTTTTAGCTTATGAATGAATTTTTTTCGTAAAAGAAAAAGCTTTATTCAAGTTTTGGTATTTATCAACATTTTATTTATTCAGCTTTTTCTTGCCTAATTTATAAAACACATTAAAAAATGTTCTAAATATATGTACATGTACTTTTCGAGTTTTGAATAGGAGAGGGGAAATGATCATCTAGCAATGGTGAAAGGCAAACACGATGCAAAAAAGATTGACAACGGCTGCTTTAAGAATTTCTTTGGTATTATGCAGTTAGGCTTACCAAAAAGAACAATAGTTGTGAAACAAGTATGTCTGATGAGTTAGATTTAACTATTCTGCCAAATCTAAGGGTTGTTCAGTTATGCAATGTAATTGTTGAAGCAGAAAACTAATAAATAATTTATTAGAAGTTCTCACTTAGTAGAAGGAAAAAATTAAATTAGGAAAAGCAAAGTGGGAGTAGGAATTAAACTAAAAAATGCACAGCATGCGTTTTAATCGAGAAAGCTAAAATTTGGTATCAAATTAAGCAAAATACAGATTCTTCGTCTATTTTTACAAATAATGAACAAGCTTTTACTGAAGCTAATGATGCAGATGATGTAAGTAATGCTGTCAGCATTTATTGAAAGCTGTTTGGAAAGCAGATCAATAGAATGAATATACTAAAAGAACTGGGTCACATTTCTGTTGGTTATTTTCACTAGACATAAATTTGTCACATGAAATCTGACCATCTTGAAATGTTTACCTTAAGTGCATTAAACTGAGTCCAGAGTAGTTTAGGCAAAATTTTATTTTGCATAAAAAGCAATTTCTGCATCATTATGGAATTTGTCTTTGAATTGAATAATTACTTCTAAACCTTTTCTTCATGTAATTAATAAAAGGTTTTGAAGTATAAGTGTATAAAGATCTTATAGTTACCAAACAATTAAAATGGAAATTACCAAAAGAGATATGTGAATATTTCACTGACATTCTACCCAGAGTTAAAAATTTAAATTTCTGAAACACGTTATAGATGAATATAAAGAATTACATTCACTATGAGGAAAAAAGCAAAGGACAGTGTAAAAATTAATTGCTTCAGCTCGGTATAAAATTTAATAAGGAATCTAAATTTCAAATATTTTAATTATAATGAAACTAGCCAAATCTGCTGATAGGCAAAATAAAATAGATTCAATACGGTGTTGTATATGGAACTTTTTTGGCTGTAAAACAAATACTTGCTCTCAGAAAGAAGTAAAGAGATCTTTTATTCATAGTTCAAGTATCCACAGAAAATTCTTAAGAATATTGAAATTCTCGGAATAATGAATGCTTTATTAGATGCAAAAAGTGATGACACTCTGATAAGTTGTAAATTTTATACTGAAACTGGATCTCTCTCACTAGATCTTAATAATGTAGCCTCAGTTAGCATCGATGGAAAAGAAGTTGTTCCTATAGGTTCCTCAACTTCTGAATTATCGATTGATGAATGTATACTGTTCACCAATATTTATGTTTTGAGTAATTTTTGCTGTGACATAGTAATTGGCACTGATGTGACTAGTATGTTAAATATTTCTAAAATGTTGAAAAGATATGTGTTAGAGAAATGTAAAGAAGTGTTAATGTGAATTAAGCTTAAATTGTTGACCTAAGAATAAACCTAAGAATCAAACTAATTCTTTTGACTCTGCAGTCCAAGTCAATAGGTTGGCTGTTGATTCTTGAATTACAAGAGGATGAAAATGATAAACCTACATAAGAATTATGGGTTTGAAGAAGAATATTTCTTCTCAATTTATGGAGAATAAAGCTGAATCCAATATGAAAAACAGTATCACAACTAAGTTTTCTAGCTTAAATGGCAAGTGTTGTAAATGTATTTCCAAGTGTTGTAACCATGCAAAACAAAAAGTGCTGATTTGAAGACTAACATTATTTAGAGTGATGAGATCCCAGTTAGCATGTGTCCACGTGGAATGCTTCTTAGCTGGGGAAGATTTGAGCCTCAAATATGGCAATGGTTACAAGATGATATTATTAAGCTGCACAGTTCTGAATTTGCAGCACCAATTGTGTTGTGTAACGAAGAACTGTGTGCTGACTTTAGGAAATTTAACAAAAAATAATTAAGGATCATTTCCTTTTGCTCTTAATTGAAGATCTCTCTTAATTGAAGACTCTTAATTTAGATCGGCTGGAATAGTCAGAAGTCTACATTTTTTTATTTAAAGAACTTCATCCATTTTGAAACAGTTGAAAAGAATATGAAATATATTGCATTTGTGATGCTTCAAAGCCAGTGCATATAATGCAAAATGTAAAATATGCTAAAAGCATATTTAATGCAAGATGTATAACCTACTTTATATGATTTGTATATCAATCATATGCGATTAAAATCATCTTTGATGTTCTTTTCTCTCTCTGAAAATTGTTCATATTTTACCTAGGATCCCAGAATATGTTTTTCAAAATATAAATGATCCTTATCTGCTTAAAAGCATTATGAATTGATAAAATAGTTTTAAATTTGAAAAACTCGTTATGTGTCAAATATTTTGCATGGCTTCAAAATATGTATATCGTACTCAAATTTATCTTAAGGCTATATGATTGATTGATTCTAGATTGATTTGATATATGTTTAATTTTGAATCATTGTGTGTATTTTTCCAACTTAGTATTTAAGTTCAATATTTAATTTATAATTAATTTTGATTTTCTTATGTTATCTATTTTAAATAGTTTCCATTGAACATTTTTTTCCCTACTGTGTTAGTTATTGTTTGTCATATATTTATATGTACGCATTGTAATGTTCATGTAATCAGCTGAAGAATTATGCATTACATTGTTACCTTGACTTACTGAAAGATTCGATGCACAGTCAAAACATGTCTTTATTGGAGATTATTCTGGTCAAGTGACTATGCTAAAAATAGAAGATTCTGGTTATAAACCTATAACTACATTAAAGGGACATTCAGGTATTTATACTTTCAATATATATTTATTTCTGGGTAAAGATTTTTTGATAACTTTTATGTTCTTATTTTCAATATATTTTTTGTTAATAATAACTAATATCTTTAACTAATCCTTGAAGTTGTATTAGTTGTCATTAACTAATCTTTGAATAAGATTTCTGAAATGATAAAAGTTTTGGGTCATATTTTGATTGTCTCTGATTGAGTCACAATAACTTGGTGATTTAATTCATTATTTTAATTGCACACATTGCAATTTTTGACTCTGTATCATTTGTACATCTATATTCTAATCTAGTATTTATGTATTATCCCATCAACCATGAAAACTGGCTACTATTGAAATATGAAAGCTGCCAGAGATCTTGCTAAAGTTATGCCAGTCAATAGCCATTGTGTATCCGTTTTCAAATAAAGTATCATATCATGTCCATCAATACATACTTTTTTGATGATAGGATCCCACAACTTTAAAAATAATCCACTGCTTGCTGTTCTGTAGAAGGCAAGTCCCGAATTTTAATATTTTTTCAAAATGCAAAGAAAAACTACAGCAATAACAATTAAATAATATCCATACTCATAAAACAAAACATGGCTTATTAAAAATCAGTCAAATGATTTTTGAGTTGCATCAAATGAAAAATGCAAATATAATGAGTGTGTTGTGGCATCATACTCATCCATAATTGGCATTAAATCATGCTGCTTTTGACAGTTTCATGATTGATGAAATAATATGTATGTACATGTAATCCTGTACTAGGTCGATCATTAAAAAAAAAAAAAAAAAAAAAAGATAGAATAAGCTAAAAAAAGACTTGCTGACTTTTTGTACATAATATTTAATACATTAATGTGATTTTTTTTTAATTAAAATTAATTGGTACTTTTTGTAAAAAGTTGTTTTATTTATTTTCTAAAATGTCATTTTCTAAAGATGCTTTTGTGTAAAATTAAATCGAACTGTTCGAATATTAAATTTGTTTGCAAAATATATAAAGTTTGAATCTTATATTTTAAGAATTGCAATCGGTGAATATTTTTACTTCAACATCACTTTGAATGATATTTTTAATACTGTTGACTTATTGCAGTTAAAATGACCAGTTGAAGGGTAGCAGGGTACTATCATTTTCAGCCTTTTAGTCAGAGCATCATTTTGAATCCATATACTAATTTTACGTGTTCAATGTAAGCAATAGTTAAAATACCACATAATAAAGAAATGAATGTTAACCAAACTGGAAATAATAGAGAAAAAAGAAAAAATTAAGACCTCAGAAATTCCAATGCGAGCTTATTCGATAGTATCACCTCAGAAAATTTGGATTCCGAGTTGGACGTGGAAGATAGAGTGGATATCCCGAAATGTTAATTTCCATGAAATGAAAAATATAAAGGCACCAAAAGAGCAAACATCCAACATAATGACCACCCTATTTCATGGAAAAATCGTGGCCTAAACCAAAATGTTGTTAATATCAAAGGTATGATCAATTTATATCATCCTATAAGCTTGACAATTCAAGAGATTTTTGTAAAATGTGTGGAACAAGCTAAGTTTCAGAGGCATTCTTTCACTAGGAAAGATTGTTAGGATGAGCATGTCATTGGAGGTGTAGGTCTTCACTTGATTCTAATTCGATTGTCCCTCTAATTCCATTTCTTTGAACACAGGCCTCCAAGCTGTTGCTGTCCAAATAAATTTACAGATACTGGTGTAAGTAGTCATGACAACAGAATTTCAGCGTACCTTGTATAGTCTCACCGCATAAACAGTGCAACTCTCCCTAATTTTGAGGGAGAATAAGGCGGCTATGGTCTGAGGGTCTCTCATCCCTCTTAAGAGACTTACCAGTTAAGAGAACATTTAGCTAGCATTATGTATTGATTCCCTCTTTGGTGCATACAAACTGTATGCTTACACATATGTATGCTTTCTTTGGGATTCAAACCCAGGCTTATCAGTACAGCAGTAGTGTCTTTAACCACTATACTGTCTGAGTGGCCGATTATGTTTCTCTTTGTTCAGTTTATTTATCCCGAAACATCAAATCAATCAGTAAGATTTAGATAACCTAATAGAACAATTGCCTGAACACTTTATCATAATAACTGACATTAAGTGGCTTAGTCCATTCTGGAAAAGTAAGGATGTAAATCCTGATGATAAGAAATTATGAAAGATCACTGCCTCAGCTTTTCAATAAAGAACAAGATATTTAATTCCACATGTCTAGGAAGACCTTTCGTGCTCTTGATATTCACATATTTATACTTGATGTTGTGAATGATTTTTGCAAGCACATAATTTCCCTACCTTTGTATCTCATGTGTGAGAAAGAGTAAATCCCATGTATCATTTTATACTGAATAGGGCAGAGTGAGAATTCTCATCTCTCGTAGAGCTCACAGAAGTAGTAGCAAAAGATGAGTAGAGCTCACAGCAGTAGTAGCAATGATGCAGTTAAAACCATTAGTAATACTATAATTCAGGCAGCTACACTATCTATACTGGTGACATCAAGAAAGAATCATCAGAAAGAAGATGAGAGAGTGGCAAAGCTGTAGCAGATTTAACATTTTGTCATATTCCAAAAGTGTGCTTCAAGCACTTCTGAATAACCAAATAGTTCTCAAAGAATCTTAAACTGTAGGCCTTTGCTTAAGGCAATGGCACACAGAATTTCTTTCGAATGGATTCCAGCTTACTGGGAAATTATGGGAAACGAAAAAGCTGATACTTTGGCTAAGAAAGGAACTTTGATAATGCAATGCATTAATTGACCACTTTCTTTTCAAACGACTAAATTGTTTGTTAATTTGAGAAAATTCTTAAGCAGGATATGATTCAACGTGCTATTGATACAATATGAAGGATTCTGGGAGAAGAGACAACTTTCATTCCCAGTTTTCCAAGAAAGACAGCGGTAGCTCTATTTAGACATCTTACCAGACATGATTGTTTGCAAGACCTCCTCTACAGAATCGGAGTGGTAGATTCCCCAAAGTGTATTTTGTGTGACTCCAGTCAGCCTATGATTTTTTTAACCTTAAGAATGTATATATACGTGCATATCAAAATATGCCGAAGAAATTAAGGCAATATATTAAAAGTACACAAATTCAGATATGAAATTCCAGGAGAGGTTTACATTAAAATAAAATTTAAAAAAAAATTGTTCTCATACTAGTTTTGGGAAATTTGTGTTTTCTTAGTGAAAACCCTGGCCGCTCAGAGAGTTAAATAATTGTACTGCACTTTCTCAATATGAGGACATTGTTAAAAAGTACTGGAGAGCCTGTGATCTAATGGCTTAAACGCTAATGTTTGACATTTGTAAAATAAATAAATCAACAAACAATCAAAGTATTCAAAACTATGGTGGAATCCTGAATGCCAAGAGATGCTAAAACAGTAGAGAAATGTTTGAGGAGCTTTTTACAGGTACCTCACTTTAACAAACCTTATTGACATAAAAAAAATCTGATGTGTATACCACATGACTTCCTTGTGCGGAATATTAAATTATATGCATTTTTTCTTGCATTTCATTTAAACTTCTTGGATTGAATTAAATCTACTTTGCCAACAGTGCATAAACCACAATAGATTAAATGCATTCTTTAAAATTCACTCTAGTATTTGTTTACCATAACGACACTCTGGCGCTAGATTCACTTAGCAGTATTATATTTTGTTCATATTATAACTCATAATTCACAAAATTTATATCATTTAAAGAATAGAATTATCTAATAGTTGCCACATGTTCTATTCAAATACTATAATAAAGCTAGAATGATGTATAAAAGAAATTAAGCAAACAAAACAAAAAAGAAACAGTTTTTCACAGACGATTGAGTATTTCTCATTCAATTAATTCAGTTCACACTTCGTGAGAAGACAAAAATACATAAAAACTCAAAATATCTATATTAAAAATTACGAAGTAACACTTATTTCCTCGAAAAAATTCCAGAAAAGATTAAGCATGATTTAAGTGGCAGTAATAAATGAAGGCATTATCTTTGTTGTTGCGAAGCTAAGTTTCTCCAGATTGGCAACAAATCCACTGGTCTGCTGTTCAAATGTGAACAATCGATGGCCGCCATAAAAAAAAAGGCCCAGCGGCACTTAAACAGCTTTAAAATTGTTGATAATTCTAAAAACATTGCATACAGATTTATTAAAGGCATAAAAACCTTAACCGGAAGATAAAAACAACATAATCATTTTTAAAGCAAAAAAATGTACAATTTACAAACATATAAGAGTAAAGAAACTGAGATCACTGAGCCGAGTAACAGAGTGAATATATATATTTATATACGTTTGGTGCAGCCGATTGCAACCAAAATACGAGGTGCACATCTACATGTTATAGCAGTCCTATATACAAAATTTCAACGTTCTGAGGCTACTCGTTTTTGAGTTATGCAATATATGTATGTATATACGTTTGTGCAGACGCCACGAAAAATTCTCTTCACAATTAATTTTATAGCAGTTTTATAATTTTTTTGGAGGAAATGAGTCTTTTATTCTGTCCTTATGTACAGATATCACGTAAAAACATCGTTAAGTTGCATTCAATAATGGTCGAAAATGGATATTTTCATTGAAATATGCTGCCTGAAACTTTTTACGATTACAATACTTCCTTTTTACTTCGTACAAGGAAGTAAAAAGTAGTGCAAGAAGAGTGAGATGCAAATGTCAGAGGAATTAGATTTTCTATGTGTCTGGAATAACATCCTTTATATCAAGCGAACAAGTGTAAAAAAGAATTATAAAGCTTGTGAAATGTACAAAGATCACTCATTTTCTTTCCTGGAAAAAGATGGCTGGGGAGGGGAGTCAGCAAACAGAAGAAACTGCAAATAGAATTGCTGCCATTTCAAGTGGAAACAATTACCCATTGGCATTTCTTTCTGTAAAATTGTCTGAGAAAACTCTCCTATTGCTTTTAACCCTACCAATTGAGAGTTGTATA